AAAGTCTTTGAGATGTTCAAGCAAGTATTGACTTGTGTCAGACTGAAGATTCGGGATGTCCACTTTCAACGGCCATGGCCATAGGTGTCCGTTTTGTTTGGTTTGCCTAAAAAATCGAGGGCCCTGGTTTAGATGGGGCTTTAGTTTCCCATTTACCAGGGAAACCCATCTACTTTTCCAACCCACCTGTGGCCACCTGTAGGGCCCAAGCTTCCGCCCCCGGAGGTGGGTGTCAGGGAAACCCCAGGTCCGAAGGTGTCCAAAATCGCAGTTTGTTGGTGGGATTTCGGGGCGGATTTTGCTGAAACTCAGCACGACTGCCCATTTGCCAGCAGAACCCTTTCTTTTCTCCAAGAAAGCTACGCTCCCCTAGTTGACATAGAAGGCGATTCGTGTCTTTTCCAACAAGGTTGGGACGTTTGGATTTGCCATCAAGAGTTTGGGCAAGTTGTCTGGGACGTTTTTCTTGTTTTGTGTTTTTTTTTTGGGGGGGGGTCTGCGAAATTTCACCCAATGAGGGTGCCTTTCCTAGGGCCCTTTGGCGGATCAGACTTTGCATAGTTGGAGCACCAAACATTTCGGGGTTCCGGGCCCCTCAACCGCTGAACTCTTGGAGCCAACCAGAAATCAGAATCGAAAATCTCAAAGAAACCTGGCAGACGAAGCTGCCTGAGAAGGAGAAGGAAGGCCAACGGCTCAGAGTTTGTTTGTTTCATCTTCATCCCTGTGCAGCAGGGAACCAAATAAGCTCGGGTGATATCCCCAACAGCAACCGGTGCTCGCGGCCCTCATGGAACCCTGCTGAAACCCTGGTGGAACCTTACCTCAGGGCTGCCCCGGAGCCTATCTGGGCTGAGACCCACCAGTTCAAAAGTAAAGGGGAACTGGCTGGTCACCGGCTCCTTTGGGGGTAGCTGCCCTTTGTTTCTCGCCTTCGGCCAAACGAAGTACCTTATGGGTTTCCTAAGGTGACCCAAGTCGTACAAACTAACTGCCCGTCAAGGTAGGCCCACGAATATCTTTGAAACGTTTGACCCACTCGTACATCGCCTAAAATATCCAGTTCTGTTCAGAACATGGCTTCTCTCAACCACCTCAATGTGTTCTCACAAAGCACCCCCTATTCCAAATGCCCAGCCGTTTCAGGCATTTTCTGCAACAGGTTTTTGGAGGGAGACGGCTCCTTGTCTCGTCAAGGGTGACATCATACCCGTTGGATTTTTTAGAGGACACCGGGCAGTGCTTCCTTCCTGCCATGACAAAAACTCCTGGGTCTAAACTGGGAAGTCCTCCCGTGTCGCTGTTCCCCGAGAAGGTACACGTGAGCCACTTGTTCAAAACCCGGGTAAGTGCAGCTTAGTAAGGAACAATCTCAAGCATTAGTAGCTGCGGATATCCGCCTTCTCAATTCTGCACATGGTTTGGGGTAGACCATTCTAACGCCTGGTTTTGATTGTGACTCACGTGCGGCCAATGGGGCATATGACGTTTGCTCGCCCGAATCCGGTGAATGCATCACAAGGATTGGGTGCCTGAGGCTTCCCGCCGCAAGAAGTGCGACTGAGCGGAGCTGCCTAAGTGACAGACAACTTCCCACATGTCCACCAGAGTCATCAGGAACATTCAAACCCGTAGGAGTGAGTAAGGATGGACACAGGGTTTTGCGGGGCAAGAAGGACTGAAGCACCTTTTTTCAGGGGTCTGCAGTTGCCCTTCCATCCCCACACCCACTTGCAACCAACCCGTCTGATAGAAACAAATGCAGAGGAGTATATTATGTGTCCCAATAATTAGGCGCCCCAACAATTGTGCCTCGGCTTTCTTGTTGGCTTCCCTGCAAACCAACCTACAAAAGGGTACATTTCGGGGGCCCTTTACAGACATAAAGGAAACCTGTGGCCCGTGTCTGCTTTCAGCCTCATATGGGCAGGTTTCTGTTGGAGGCCCCCCCTTTTAAGAGGAGGAAAACAAAAGGAGGCAAACCATTCCTTGGCAAAAAACACAAGCCCGTATTGGGTGCGGCTCAAAATTAAAGAGGAGGGGCAAACCGCAGGTTTTGGGATTCCGGTTTCCACTTACCGATCGGGCAACCCATGTTGGGGTTACCCGATTTTTTGAGCCACGGCCATATACCTTGAACCAGAAACTCCCAGCCGGCAGAACTCGCAGCTCGGAGCCTCCGAGGCTGGTGGTCTCGAGGCTCCCGCAACGAGGAGACAGGGGCGACACCTTCCTTTGTTTGTTTGTGTGTTTGTTCGTTCTTTTTTTCTTTCTTTCTTTCTTTCTTTCTTTCTTTCTTTCTTTTTTTCTTTATTTCTTTCTTTCTTTCTTTGCTTGTTTGTTTGTTTGTTTGTTTGTTTTGTTGGTTCGTTTCTTTGTTTGGTTGCATTTTGTTGTTATATCACAATTGTTTTGTTTGATAGGTATTCCTTGTTGTTGTTAGGTTGTTATGTTGTCAATTTTGTTTGTTGTGTGTTCTTTATTTGTTGATTTACTTTCCTGATTGATTCAATTCTTTACGTGGTTGTGTCTTTCTTTTTTGTTACTTTATGTGTTTTTTTATGTGTTTATTTGTGTCATTGTTATTTTCATGGTTTACCTGTTTTTTTTCGTGTTTAACTGTATGTCTTTCTGTATGTCTTTATTTGTTGACTGAGTTATGTTATATTTGATTATGTTTGTTTGTTTCCTTGTATGATATCTATCTTATTTCCTTTGTTTGTTCTTTGTTTATTTCCTTCTTGCCTTATTTCCTTTCAATCTGACTACCGTTCTGTCCTTCCCTTTCTCTTCTCTTCTCTTCTCTTCTCTTCTTTCCGTATTGGGTTCCCATCATACTCCCCGCGTTGAATACATTATTTTCGTGAGTACCCTCCCACCAACTAACATGGAAGTGCAAAAGGGCCCTTTCCAAGAGGACAGTTTTTTTCTACAGCCTGTGCACTGAGGGTACATAAAACATACTGTATCGCCGTGTTCAAGTCTTTGGAAAATCTGGCCCAGCGAGGCGGACTCGCGGTGCCGAGCTTCAGGAGCTCGAGCTTCAGAGGGTCATCGAGGAGACCACGGAGGACAACATCCGGCTGAGGACCGGACTTTTTCACTGCGTGGGCCTGGCCGGTTTCCTTGTCGAGGCACCAACCATAGGTGTCCGTTTTAGCTTGGTTGTGGCTAAAAATCGATGGGCCCCACTGGTTTGGATGTGTTTTTTGTTTGATTCCATGTACCAGGGCCAGCAATTTATTTGTGACAAAAGGCCACCTATGGCCCCGACACTTTGCTGACGCACTTGCCAAGTCTTGGCAAAAGGATCAGCTTTCCGGGGCCCAAGGACTTGTTTGGGGCTGTGGGACCTGTGGGCCTGGCCTGGGTGTGTTTAAGGGGTCTCCCAAAAAAGACGGTGGCGTGGGAGGAACGACATCAAGATCATGTCGGACCAGCTCCGAAAGGTCTTGGCAGGTCGCACGTGGTTCGCATGGCCGTCGTCAAAAAAAAGGGCGTGATGGGTACGGACCCTCAGACGAACCGCCCGAAGCTTTCCCAATCTATCCTCCGCAAGTGGAACCCTATAGTCCATTTCGGGGTCCTGAAAGCTCCATAGAATCGCCCGGAAGGGAAGGTATGTGTGAAAATAGGAAGTTGGATGCTGAACATCGCCGCAGTTTTCCTTTGGCCGCTCTGATATTGAGACAAACCCATCTTGTTCGGTCGGAGACTCTGCTTTTTAGCTTTTTAGTGTTTAGTGGGGATTTCCATTTAACCCACTAAAAGTCAAAAACATTTGAGCAGGGGATCTGAGGACAGCCCAGAAGTGAGTCGGTTTCCGTTTGGGGTTCAGGGAAATGTGAGCCTCAAGGTGTACCCCAGAGTTGGCCCAAGGATCAACAACAAGAGATCTGTTGGAGTTGGCCCACGCAACCAGAGATTTTGGGATTGATAAATATTCCTGCCCCAAATCATCCCAAATCAATGACCATGGGTAATTGTCCCACGCGGCTGACATATCATCTGAAAGATGGTCATCTTAAAGATGGTTTTCCAACCGATGGGCATCTTATGTGTTTCGGACCTTTTGATTGATCCCCATGTGTCATTTTTTGCGGGTGCCCTTGCTGCAAAATGGAAGCTTCGCCACAGGGAATTTTGGGGATACCTGTATTTTGAGACACCCCCAGGGTGCAAACAAATGTTTCATTTCTTCATCCAGGCTTCAAACATCGGCGAACTGTTTTTCGAGCAGATCAATTGCAGCTGGCAGGTGAGGAAGCGCCACCAAAATCGCGCAAAAAGAAAGCTCTCGAGGGGCCGGTGCCTTTGAAATGTCTACGAATACCCGGCGTTTACGCGCACGTTCCCAAAACAGTCATTTGTCCATTCTGAATACCTCCTGATTGAGTCAAGGGTCGACATCACGTCAAACGTGTAGGGATTTAGGGCAAGGCGCGGGATGAAGCTCAGTGGACAGGCCGCAGCCATAGGCATGGTTGTTGTTGGGAAGCATCTTACAATTTTGCTTGTTGTGGTTTAGTGGGAAATCCCCACTTATCTGCTAAACAAATAAATGTTTGCTCCCCTTCCAATGTCAACCAAGTAGGCGCCGTCCTTTCAATTCTTTGAATACCAGGCTTTGATTGTGACTCATTTGCCGACGATCGAAGCGTGGATTCCCGACCTGATGTCCACACCGCTTTAATTTGGCGGGCTACTAATCACAAAGCCCTGGCAAGTTGCGTTCCATCCAGCTTGCTCAAACCAGTTTTGTGTGAGTTGGCTCTTGGTAGGGCAACGCTTGAGAGGAAAATAGGAGGACTTTTTGTTAGCACTTGGTGTGGATGCTTCGATGCCGCAGCTGGTAGGTTTACCCGTGCGTTTCACGTGCAAGCAGATGGTTCGCGAAATGGATGCAACTCGTTGTTCCACATCCAACAAGGTAGCCAGGATCAAGTTTAGGGCTGAAGCAGCTTCCAAGCAAGCCAAAGCAGCCAAAGCACCCGTGCATGGCATAGATCAAATCCTCGTTCCTTCCCCGGATACGCCATGGCCAAGTCTTCCCATTTCGCATGCGCGGGGCCACAGGACGATTCGGACTCTCGGCCTGGGCCAGGAGGTCTCGAGATGTGACCTTTCGGCTTGGCACAAGCGAGAAAGCGGGCGAAGAGAGTCCGGCCTTCCGGACAGTTCCGGGCTTTTCATACTAAAACGCACCGAAAATCAGGTGACTGAACCGGGGGATTGGGATTTTTCATATTAAAACGCCCGAAAATCGGATAATTACATTTAACAGAAGAGACAGGGCATGAGTATGTCCTTCCGGAAAATTCGGGTTTTCTATTGGAGCGCCCGAGGGTCAGGTGATTGAACAGAAGAGACAGGGCATGGGTATGTCTTGTTTGGGGGTACCAGCTCATCACCCACAGGATCCGTGCTTGGCACCCACACGTATGCTGTCTTTCTGCATAATATGTATATATATATATATAATATATACGTACAAGATGTTGTGTCCGAAAGAAGGCAGCAACAATGTGGCAACAGTTGATCACTTAGCATCATATATATATATATACATATATATATATATGGATATATTTATACATGTAATATATATATATATGAATACAGGCACGCGCACACACACACACACACCCACACCCACACCCACACCCACACCCACGCCCACCGCACACGCGCACACGCGCACACACGCGCACACGCGCACACGCGCACACGCGCACACGCGCACACGCGCACACGCGCACACGCGCACGCGACATCACGCACACGCACGCGCACATCGGCATAAACACACACACAACACACGCACACATCGCGCAACACGCACACACGCACACGACACACACACACACGCACACACGCGCACACGCACACGCGCACACGCGCACACGCACACACGCGCACGCGACCCACGCCCGCGCCACCCACGCCCACCCCACGCCCACGCGCATGCGCACGCGCACGCAGCGCACGCGCACGCGCCCGCGCCCGCGCACGCACACGCACACGCACACGCACACGCACACGCACACGCACTCCCACACCCACACACACACACACACACGCACATACTAGACTCTGGACACCAACAAGAACATCGAAACCAGTTAAAGACTAGTCAGCAGAAACCAACGCTGAAGCCGCGGACTTGCACGGTTGCCCAGAGAGATGCCCTTCTGGCACGCTAAGGTGGTTGGAGCTAGCGCAGGCGCCCGGGTGCCAGTATGTGTTTATCCTTTGCTTGATTGTTTGTTTGCTTTTTTAGTTGGGTGGGGAATGTGCTTGTTCCCCACCTTACAGAATTTGGGGTTGTTAGATTCTTTGTGAAATCCGACCGCAACCAGCCCGCTTCTGCCGACAGAGCCTGCAGACAGATGCGACAGGCAGACAGGCAGCTGTGACAGAGCTTGTGCCGGACAGAAGTGACAGTTCCAAGCCTGAGGCCCCCGCCAGTGGCCAGCCGCGACAGCCAGCCGCGACACTCAAACTCCAAGCCCCTTTCTATTTTGAGAGCTCGTCTGGTGGGATATGTCATAGATCCAACTCTAAACTCAAGAAAACTAAAGGTCCTCCAGGAACCGTATGGCTGGGAACCGTCAAGGATTGGGAGTTCATTTCAACCTTGCATTTTGAACGGAATTCTGCGTTGCACTCTGTTTCAGTATGGTGACAACTTTTAACCGCACTCAATAAGGACATTCTTGTTCCGAATCCTGTTGAGAAGTAGGTCTTATCTTCAGAATATAGATAATATTACTGGACAGTATACCTTAAATGTAGAATCTAAGATAGAAGTTATTTCCCAATAGAGCTTAACAATTCAATTAGAGTTAAACAGAATTTGATCATCAAAGAATCCAATGAGAACTTATTTTTAGATTCGCGATTCAAGTAGACTTATTCTGCTCTGGATTCGGGTTTACACGTGGCTTTCCTCCCATTAGAATGTCTGTACAAATCTGGGGAGCGGAAGTTGGTGGAGATGTGAACCAAGTACGGAAAAAGCTACAACACACAATGTGTTTTACGGTGTTGTCTGACCATGGTGGTGCTGGGGCTATTTTCAACTTTAAAGACGCCGCTTTTGAATCTCTGATCTCTGTCCTTATGAACTCCACGACATAATTATCTTTATCAAAACCTACTTTAACGTAAAATTGGAAGCAGGAAAAAGACTCCAATCAGCAGTTCTTTTTACGTTAGCATTTCTTCTTTTTCAAGTTAATATTTGGACGTGATTTCCTTTTCAGCGCAATGTACTGTATTTGCAAATCAAATCAGTTGACACGTCATACTGCATGCAAAACCTCCACAAAACCAAACAAAAGTCGGAACACATGCTTGTTGGTTTTCTTGAGGTGTTTTGCACTTGCTTTGGAAAAGTGCGAAACTTCTCGAGAAAACCAACAAACAAACAGAAAGCTCAGACCCATGTCCCAGATATTGGAACCACTCCGCCATCGGTCTGAGCTCTATGTTTGGTTTCTTGAGATTTTCGCACTTTTTCCAAACCCTGTGACCCAGAAGCAGATGCAGATGCGTCTTCTGTTTTGCACGGACTGGTTGCAACTGAGGACTCCAATTCTAGAGACATTCGAGCCAGTCGGGGAAACCGTGGGTCGACAAGGACGCTGTGACGTAATGCCTCGCGCGACACGTCCAACAGGTGGGTCTGAGCCCCATGAAACTCTGTCATGGGTTTGAGTGTACCTTTGCACCCTCAGGATAACCCTTTGGACAGCTTTCAACAAACACGAAGTGCGCAAAGACTTGAAGGGGCATCTGTTGACGGTACCACCACTCGAGAAAACCTTGCCACGGTGTGATTGTCTTTTCTTCTTGGGCTAGCTTAGCACAAGAGGATGGCTTCTACCCCTTCTCCATTCAAGCTGACCAAGTGCATGCTGGACATTTCTTGGAAAAGCCCAATTTCAATCGACGCGAGACGACACCTCCAAAGTGATTGGGGCATATGATGGCATATGAATCCCCCGAGCGTCTTTTTTGTGGGGCGTCAAAATTGGTTGTGTTTTTTGGGTTCCCTTGAAAACCTAACACGGGGGGTAGCCTCAAGAAAGAGACAGCTTCAAAGCAAGCAAGAGTTTGGGTCACAGCCAATCAATGCTCTTCTGACGTTTCTGCAGCCACCAGGGGTGGGGGAGACTGCTGGGTGTGAACCTTTGTATGACAGAAAGGGTTAATCCCCACGTGAAAGGGTTGGGTTAACTCCCAAAATAATGAAGTGGGAATCAGCCAATTGAATTTTCAACCAGCCAGGTAAGTAGTTTGTTAGTTTGTCCATACCTTTCCCCATGGTTCAACCAACTTGGGTATTTGGTTTCCCCATGGTTCAACCCACTTGGGTATGTTGGACGGGCATTTTCCCGGCAAACTCGGCAGAATTTGCTCTGGCGAGACAAGCGCCAGGTTCCCTGGAACTATGGCTTGGCCTCGTGCCCAGATGCTAAGCGATAGGGACCCGGGGTCCCGGGCGAGCGCCAACACCACGGGCCGGACGCTCACCACGGGTGTTGGCATATGGGGTACCCTTTTTTGAGGGGCCCCGATTTGTTTTTTGTGCGTGTGTGTTTTATTTTGTGGTTTTCAAGGGAAACCAAGAGGTTGAAACCAGAAGCTGTTAGGGTCCACTCAAAAAACACACCGTGTACAAACACAGCCATAAAGCGATCAAATCCAATCGGCCATGTTTAAGGTGCCAAAAAGTCGAAGGACCGCGGAGCAATCCCAAGGACAATGTCCACGTTTCCAGAAATTTGGTGGTTTGGCAATTTTGCTTGGGATGTTCCATCCTTTTCTCATGAACAGGAACTGGTTTGATTATCCCCCCCTTCCTCCCCGCTGCTTGGGGTTTTGGTTTTGGACATGGGGAAAGAACGCCCTTGAGGGACCTTTTGTGTGTTTTCAAAGGTGCAAGGGAAGCCGTGGACTTTTGTTTGTTCTTCCATATCTGACAAAACTTATCCACAGCTGAATCCGGGGATCCCATACTTTCAAAGGTTGGCTTTAATGGGACGTGGACCATTGTGTGGATTCATGTATCTTTGACATGCATTGATGGAAGCCCTCAAAGACTAAAATGGCTGTTGCTTTTCAGCACTCAGGACCTCACAATGGCACTGAAGGCAGGGCGAGCTCGGCGAAGGGATTGGTTTCTGAACGTTCGATTTGTCCTTTTTGGACTTGGTACGCGTTTAATGGTTTTATTGGCTGACGAATCGGCAGGTCTCGTCAGCCATGGCCAAGAGACACGTCGGAATTCGGACGCATCAGAGGTGCCGATTCTTTATCACCCCAAGATTTAAACGCACATGAACATATATGAATGAACACATGGTGACCTCAGCCCTTTGGGGTGCTTTGGATGTCTTTGAGGGTCTCCAAGGAGGCCACAGCCGGGTGTCAAAAGTGCAAGTTGCTTCAGGAAGCTGAGGGGCTGGACTGGAGCTCCTTTCAGGCCGAGACTGCGGCCGTGTTTTTTTTCTTTTTTCCGGTGGCTCCGTGTCGAAGGGCGACCTGACAGGGGCCAAAGGAGCCTGAAAACGGCGAAGAGGAAAGGAAGCTCGAAGTGACATGTTTGGGGTTTCCAAACAAATGCAACACCCTTCAACCAGAGACGTCTGGGTGACCCACTGGGTGTGCCGAGTTTTTTGTGAGGCTATCCCCACTGCGCTAGGCTCAGCAACACAAAGCAAGGTTTAAGGCGTTCATGGCAACACCAATTCAACTCTTCTAGGGGATCGAGCCCTTGCTAGATCAGGGGTAGTTTCGGCCTGATATTTCTTCCGGTGGCTCAAGAAAAAGTTGTGCCTTCCCCTGTTGGTTTTGAAGGGAACTGGACATTATTGTGTTGTTTGTCCAGCGGACTTTTGCGAATGGAGCTTCCGGGTCCCATTTTCAAGCACACCCGAATCTGCACAGGAATCCACTGGAGCCAATCTGCGTTGTGGAAGGTGATGTTTTTAAGCAGACCTCTGGGGTAGGGGTTTTACTCTCACAGGACTGGCTTTAGGCATCAACTCATGCTCTTGCCTTTTGCCTTGGGGGGGGGTTGTTTTCTTTTGGGGGGGCGAAGCTGAACATTACCTTTAAAAAAGGCCCATGTTGATTGACCCGGGATCCCAGCCACATTTGTAAGACTGATTGAGTTTCACAACTTGCCTCGTGGACGGTGGCGAAATCCATCTGTTTCTCGCACTTGGTTGAAACCACAAGGTTTGTTGGGTATTTGCTGAAGGGAATCGAATCATTCCCTTGGGATTCTTGCGTGCGAGATGGATGTTGTCCATCCACCGGGTTCTAAGAGATCTCCACAATCACCCGGGTCATGGAACTTCTTCGACGCATCAGGGGCCCGTAAACAGTTGCGAGGGCCCAAGAGTCGGGAGTTTTGGGGCACAATGACTCCCGTACAGTCACCCGACACGTGCCTGATTGATTTCTTGGCTTGAAATAGACCCCCGATCTCAAACTACCAGTTGATGACACTCTCTGTACGGGTTTCACTTTTTGCAAAATCGCCAACTTTCTGGGCCTTTCTGGGGGTTCGAAGCACCTGGAAGCGACATCAATGCGCCAGAAATGTCGCTTTGAGCCTGGCGCGCTGGCAAATGCGGGTCCACTACGGGATGACCGCCGGGCTCTCAGCCGATCGGTTCAAGCCCCCGGTTTTTAAGGTCGAAACTGCTGGATTTGTTCATCGGTCCGGTCGCTGGGAACACCTGGAGTCAACATTGGCCCAAGCAAAGGGGTCTTTTCAGCTCGGAATTGTGAGCAAATTTTTGTTTGTTCTAATTCGCAAGACCTGGTTGGTCCGAAGAAATTACCAAACGGTTGGAGCATTTCTGAAAACACTGGTCCCCTAAAATGATTTCCTTTCTCCCTTCAGCACTTTAAGCCAACAAGAAGGCGGCCAACAAAACGGCCCATTTGGGTAGCAAATTTGTTGGACAACGCCGCGTCACTTCCTCTGCAGTTCCCTTTCAGGACCTTTGTGCAAGTGGGATTCCGCAGATTTTACTCCCAATTTACTCTGGGAACTTCCCATTAAACAAATCAAGAGTTACGGTTACATTCAGGTCTTCCTTGGCACTAGTCCCAAGTATGTCAGTCGACCTTTTAGACAGTTTAGGACCATGCATACACACTGAGTGGGGTGATGGGAAGCCAGGAATTATCTAGTTGATTCGCGGGGTCATATATTCAAAAGGAATCCTTCACTATTGAAGACCACCAGGATCTGCTGGGATCCGGGGGCAACATTGACAATAGCCCTTGAACAAGGAGGCAGAGTCCAGGATTCCATGAATCTGCGACAAAAGAAGCCGCTCGCAAATGGAAGGGCAGTCGGAACAGATCCTTGAACATGGGAAGCAAGATCAGGAGCTTAAAGGCAATATATTGCTACAAATCAACAATCCTTGAACAATGATCAGACTCTACCAAGCAATGGCAACCACTGGAGGAAGAACCTGTGCCCACCTCGTTTTTTGTTTTTTGTTTTTCTTGTGTTTTTTCTCGCCGAGTGAGGCGACATCGTCCTGGCCGCCGTTGAAAGCTCCGGCTATGCCCTGCAGTTTGCGTCGCCCAGGCCGGATTCCGGAATCCGAAGCGAGCCCGTGGGCCAAGTTGCCAAGTTGCTTGATCCAGGTTCAACTGGAGGAAATCAAAATTCAAACGGATTATTAGAGTGGTATCAAGGCCATGTTCAGGTAAGTTTGGGAGGTACGGATGTACACCACCAATATGAATATGCCCCCCCCTTTTCAAGTGGCGTATCACCTCCATACATCCAAACCTCATCCCTGGAAAGGGCCTTGATAGTGAGGCCCTCCGGAAACATCCGAGGTTGACAAATTGACTGAGGCTAGCCCCAAAAGAGGCAATTTTGTCCTAGCGCACGTCGTTTGAACACAGGAACTTCGGCACCGGGCGCTGGTCGCCCTTACGCGGAAAAAGTGGAGTTGGCGCTAGATGACTTCGGGGTAGACTCCTGGAGAATCGGAGCGTTTTGGATGAATCGTCGCAATTCATCCAGAGCTCTGGGTTCACACCTCTGCACTTGGGCCACAACCAAGACCGGCTCGAATAATGGGAGGAAATAGAATCGTCGTCCGGGCCAGATGATCCCCCATCCCCATGACGTACATCAAGGGGAGTGTACCCCCCAACGGGACACATCTCCATGCATCTTTGTCGGAATGCGGCACACGTGAAATGGTGAATTTGTTGGAGGGCCAGGTTTGGGCGGGGGACAGGGCGTTTCTTTTTTCCCGCTTCCGTGGGAATCTTGGTGGAAAAAAACCTGAGGTCCTGTTGGTGAAACCGCTCACGTCTCACTCCAACCAGCTTAGGGAAGCGGATTTCAGAGAAGCCTACCACATATGTGGAACCTGACACGGGGTGGTTTGGACCATGTTCCTTTCAAAGGGACTCATGTTAATCGGTGGGAGGTGAACCAGCCATTGTCCTTTCGGCTCTTAAGCTGGTTCCGCTATACACGTAAATGGGGAATCGCTTTTGTTGTCAACCATCTGGGGATTCTTCGCGGGTCGTATGATGAATGCGTTCCTGTTTAGTGGTGGGTTAACATAATACTCTGAAACAAGTCGGTATTTTTAAAAAGCCGTCCCTGGAAAAGCCCTGGATCAAAAAGGGGGGGCCCGGCCCGGGCCGGGCCGGGCCGGGCCGGGCCGGGCCGGCCCGGCCCGGCCCGGGATCTTCTTATCCGGGTCGCAACTTGTCACATCCTAAACTCCAAAAGGTCAAATGTTCCTCCAGGGTTGGGAAGGTGTTGAAACCAACCCCTGGTCCCCTTGAAAGGGAAACCGAGAGGAGTTGATTAAACAATTGCGGTTTGGACATGTTTAAACTAGGGAATGAGCGCCATTAAAAAAAAAAGTCGATATGATTGATCAACAACCTAAACCAAAGCTCAAGCCCCTTTCTGGCACTCCAAAGTTTTTCCTTGGCCGTTCCTCCCATGGGTTTTTGCCCCTTTTTGGCACTCCAAAGACTCCTCCCGTCGGGTTTTTCACCTCTGGCCGTTCGGTGAAAGCGTGAGTCAGGCTGCGGGGCGACCGGGAGGTGGTGGTGAAGGCCATCACTCAGAGCCCCGAGGCCTTGGCCTTCGCGTCTGAGAAGCTGCGGGCGGACAAGGAGCTGGTGCTGGAGGTGGGGCTTTGACACACCTCCCGCCGCTGTTTTTTGTTTTTCTGTTTCTTTTTGTTTCTCTTTTCTTTAAAAAAGAAACAAGGATTAATGGGTGTCCCTCTAAACACCCACCATATCGTTTTGTGTTTCTTTTTTGAGGCCATTCACTCTGAATTGGCCCTTTTCCTTTTGTGGTTTTGAAGGGACACCAACAGGAATGGGTCCAATCCAAAAAAAAGGCACACGCACTTTGATGTTCAAACCAAACAGTTATTTTTTCTTTTCCGGCATGGTTTGGCGACTAACCCTAGTTACGGAATCCTTTATTCGGGACTCCCCCAAACCGGTTCATTCCCCTTCTCATTCCCTACCAATTGCACCAGCAAGTTGTGGTTCAAAGGTGGCCAAAAGGAGAGCACCGCTTTTGGAGGTTCCCAAGTGGCCATGCATTTAACAAAGTTGAATCCCCTGGGAAAGTGGCTTGTGGACATAAACAAAACCCCACGTAAATGATGTCCACCAGAGGGTCCCTAATCTAAATGATGTTTAGCAGAGGGTCCCTAATTAATCCCTTCCCCCTCATGCTAAACGGCTCCCCCCCTTATACTTAGTGGGTCTTCCGGGAAACACCGGTTTTTAGCATTGGGAAGAAGGGATAAAAACTGGGAAAGTGGACTTAAACCCCCACCTGATTGATGTCCAGAGGATCCCATCTGTAAGACTCATTGCAAGGAAGACCTCTGGATGCTCAAGGAGCTCTTGTGGAGGGTCCCTAAATAAAAAAACTCTTTTTTGGAAGGGTCCCTAAGTTTCAAAGCCCGTTTTCGGGAGGGTCCCTAAGTAAAACTCTTGTTTGGGGTCCCTAAGTAAAACTCCTTTTTGGGAGGGTCCCTAAGTAAAACTTTTTTTTTTTTTTTTTTTTTTCGGGAGGCTCCCTAAGTAAAACTCTATTTTTGGGAGGGTCCCTAAGTAAAGCTCTTTTTTGGAAGGGTCCCTAAGTAAAAATGTTTTTTGGGAGGATCCCTAAATAAAACTCCTTTTTGGGAGGGTCCCTAAGTAAAACTTCTTTTTTTTTCGGGAGGGTCCCTAAGTAAAACTCTATTTTTGGGAGGGTCCCTAAGTAAAGCTCTTTTTTGGAAGGGTCCCTAAGTAAAAATGTTTTTGGGAGGATCCCTAAATAAAACTCCTTTTTGGGAGGGTCCCTAAGTAAAACTCTTGTTTGGGGTCCCTAAGTAAAACTCTGTTTTGGGAGGGTCCCTACGTAAAACTCCTTTTTGGGAGGGTCCTTAAGTAAAACTATTTGTTGGAAGGGTCCCTAAGTAAAAATATTTGTTGGGAGGATCCTAAGTGAAACTCCTTTTTGGGAGGGTCCCTAAGTAAAACTTGTTTTTTTTTTGTTCTTCTTTCTTTTCGGGAGGGTTCCTAAGTAAAACTCTATTTTTGGGAGGGTCCCTAAGTAAAACTCTTTTTTGGAAGGGTCCCTAAGTAAAAATGTTTCTTTGGAGGATCCCTAAATAAAACTTCTTTTTGGGAGGGTCCCTAAGTAAAACTCTTGTTTGGGGTCCCTAAGTAAAACTCTGTTTTGGGAGGGTCCCTACGTAAAACTCTTTTTTGGGAGGGTCCCTAAGTAAAACTATTTTTTTGGGAGGGTCCCTAAGTAAAACCTTCTTTTTTGGGAGGGTCCCTAAGTAAACCTCTTTTTTGGGAGGGTCCCCTTGTTTTTTGGGAGGGTCCCTACGTAAAACTATTTTTTGGGAGGGTCCCTAAGTAAAACTCTTTTTTTGGGAGGGTCCCTAAGTAAAACTATTTTTTTGGGAGGGTCCCTAAGTAAAACTATTCTTGGGGAGGGTCCCTAAGTAAAACTTTTTTTTTTTGGGAGGGTCCCTAAGTAAAACTATTTTTTGGGAGGGTCCCTAAGTAAAAAATTGTTTTGGGAGGGTCCCTAAGTAAAACTATTTTTTTGGGAGGGTCCCTAAGTAAAACTATTTGTTTGGGAGGGTCCCTAAGGATTATTTTTTTTGGGAGGGTCCCTAAGTAAAACTATTTTTTGGGAGGGTCCCTAAGTAAAACGTTTTTTTTTGGGAGGGTCCCTAAGTAAAACTAGTTTTTTGGGAGGGTCCCGAAGGAAAACATTTTTTTTTTGGGAGGGTCCCCAAGTAAAACTATTTTTTTGGGAGGGTCCCTAAGTAAAACTATTTTTTTGGAGGGTCCCTAAGTAAAACTATTTTTTTGGGAGGGTCCCTAAGTAAAACTTTTTTTTGGGAGGGTCCCTAAGTAAAACTTGTTTTTTTTGGGAGGGTCCCTAAGTAAAACTTTTTTTTTGGGAGGGTCCCTAAGTAAAACTATTTTTTGGAAGGGTCCCTAAGTAAAACTATTTTTTTGGGAGGGTCCCTAAGGATTTTTTTTTTTGGGAGGGTCCCTAAGTAAAACTTTTTTTTTTGGAAGGGTCCCTAAGTAAAGCTATTCTTTTTGGGAGGGTCCCTAAGTAAAAATTTTTTTTGGGAGGGTCCCTAAGTAAAACTATTTTTTGGGAGGGTCCCTAAGTAAAACTATTTTTTTGGGAGGGTCCCTAAGTGTTTTTTTTTGGGAGGGTCCCTAAGTAAAACTATTTGTTTGGGAGGGTCCCTAAGTAAAACTATTTGTTTGGGAGGATCCCTAAATAAAGCTATTTTTTTGGGAGGGTCCCGAAGTAAAACTTTTTTTTGGAGGGTCCCTAAGCAAAACTATTTTTTTGGGAGGGTCCCTAAGTAAAGCTATTTGTTTGGGAGGGTCCCTAAGTAAAACTTTTTTTCGGGAGGGTCCCTAGTAAAACTATTTTTTTGGGAGGGTCCCCAAGTAAAACTATTTTTTTGGGAGGGTCCCTCAGTAAAACTATTTTTTTTGGAGGGTCCCTAAGTAAAACTATTTTTTTGGGAGGGTCCCTAAGTAAAACTCTTTTTTTGGGAGGGTCCCTAAGTAAAACTATTTTTTTGGGAGGGTCCCTAAGTAAAACTTTTTTTTGGGAGGGTCCCTAAGTAAAACTCTTTTTTTGGGAGGGTCCCTAAGTAAAACTATTTTTTTGGGAGGGTCCCTAAGTAAAACTATTTTTTTGGAGGGTCCCTAAGTAAAACTATTTTTTTGGGAGGGTCCCTAAGTAAACTTTTTTTGGGAGGGTCCCTAAGTAAATTTTTTTGGAGGGTCCCTAAGTAAAACTATTTTTTTGGGAGGGTCCCTAAGTAAAACTATTTTTGGGAGGGTCCCTAAGTAAAACTTTTTTTTGGGAGGGTCCCTAAGTATTTTTTTCAAGGGTCCCTAAGTAAAACTATTTTTTTGGGAGGGTCCCTAAGTAAAACTATTTTTTTTGGAGGGTCCCTAAGTAAAACATTTTTTTGAGAGGGTCCCTAAGCATTTTTGTTTGAAGGGTTCCTAAGTAAAACTATTTTTTTGGGAGGGTCCCTAAGTAAAACTATTTTTGGGAGGGTCCCTAAGTAAAGCTTTTTTTTGGGAGGGTCCCTAAGTATTTTTTTCAAGGGTCCCTAAGTAAAACTATTTTTTTGGGAGGGTCCCTAAGTAAAACTATTTTTTTTGGAGGGTCCCTAAGTAAAACATTTTTTTGAGAGGGTCCCTAAGCATTTTTTTTTGAAGGGTCCCTAAGTAAAACTATTTTTTTGGGAGGGTCCCTAAGTAAAACTATTTTGTTGGGAGGGTCCCTAAGTAAAACTTTTTTTGGGAGGGTCCCTAAGTAAAACTTTTTTTTTGGGAGGGTCCCTAAGTAAAACCTTTTTTTGGGAGGGTCCCTAAGTAAAACTTTTTTTTTGGGAGGGTCCCTGAGTAAAACTATTTTTTGGGAGGGTCCCTAAGTAAAACTCTGCTTTGGGAGGGTCCCTAAGTAAAACTATTTTTTGGAGTGTCCCTAAGTCCCTAAGTAAAACTATTTTTTTGGGAGGGTCCCTAAGTAAAACTATTTTTTTGGGAGGGTCCCTAAGTAAAACTATTTTTTGGGCGGGTCCCTAAGTAAAACTATTCTTTTTGGGAGGGTCCCTAAGTAAAACTATTTTTTTGGAGGGTCCCTAAGTAAAGCTATTTTTTTGGGAGGGTCCCTAAGTAAAACTATTTTTTGGGAGGGTCCCGAAGTAAAACTATTCTTTTTGCAGGGTCCCTAAGCAAAACTATTTTTTTGGGAGGGTCCCTAAGTAAAGCTGTTTGTTTGGGAGGGTCCCTAAGTAAAACTATTTTTTTGGGAGGGTCCCTAAGTAAAGCTATTTTTTTGGGAGGGTCCCTAAGTAAAACTATTCTTTTTGGGAGGGTCCCTAAGTAAAACTATTTTTTTGGGAGGGTCCCTAAGTAAAACTATTTTTTTGGGAGGGTCCCTAAGTAAAACTATTTTTTTGGGAGGGTCCCTAAGTAAAACTATTTTTTGGGAGGGTCCCTAAGTAAAACTATTTTTTTGGGAGGGTCCCTAAGTAAAACTATTTTTTTGGGAGGGTCCGTAAGTAAAACTATTTTTTGGGAGGGTCCCCAAGTAAAGCTATTTTTTTGGGAGGGTCCCTAAGTAAAACTATTTTTTTGGGAGGGTCCCTAAGTAAAACTATTTTTTTGGGAGGGTCCCTAAGTAAAACTATTTTTTGGGAGGGTCCCTAAGTATTTTTTTTGGAAGGGTCCCTAAGTAAAACTATTTTTTTGGGAGTGTCCCTAAGTAAAACCTTTTTTTTCGGGAGGGTCCCTAAGTAAAACTCTTTTTTGGGGAGGGTCCCTAAGTAAAACTATTTTTTGGGAGGGTCCCTAAGTAAAACTATTTTTTGGGAGGGTCCCTAAGTAAAACTATTTTTTTGGGAGGGTCCCTAAGTAAAACCAATTTTTTGGGAGGGTCCCCAAGTATTTTTTTTTGGGAGGGTCCCTAAGTAAAACTATTTTTTTGGGAGGGTCCCTAAGTAAAACTATTTTTTTGGGAGTGTCCCCAAGTAAAACTATTGTTTGGGTGGGTCCCTAAGTAAAACTATTTTTTTGGGAGGGTCCCTAAGTAAAACTATTTTTTTGGGAGGGTCCCTACGTAAAACTTTTTTTTGGGAGGGTCCCTAAGTAAAACTTCTTTTTTTTTAAGAGGGTCCCTAAGTAAAACTATTTTTTTGGGTGGGTCCCTAAGTAAAACTATTTTTTTGGGAGGGTCCCTAAGTAAAACTTTTTTTTTTGGGAGGGTCCCTAAGTAAAACTATTTTTTTGGGAGGGTCCCTAATTAAAACTTTTTTTTGGGAGGGTCCCTAAGTAAATCTATTTTTTGGGAGGGTCCCTAAGTAAAACTATTTTTTGGGAGGGTCCCTAAGTAAAACTATTTTTTTGGGAGGGTCCCTAAGTAAAACTATTTTTTTAGGAGGGTCCCTAAGTAAAGCTATTTTTTTGGGAGGGTCCCTAAGTAAAACTATTTTTTTGGGAGGGTCCCTAAGTAAAACTATTTTTTTGGGAGGGTCCCTAAGCAAAACTTTTTTTTTGGGAGGGTCCCTAAGTAAAACTATTTTTTTGGGGTCCCTTTTTTTTGGGAGGGTCCCTAAGTAAATCTATTTTTTGGGAGGGTCTAAGTAAGTAAAGTATTTTTTTGGGAGGGTCCCTATTTTTTGGGAGGGTCCCTAAGTAAAACTATTTTTTTGGGAGGGTCCCTAAGTAAAACTATTTTTTTGGGAGGGTCCCTAAGTAAAACTATTTTTTTGGGAGGGTCCCTAAGTAAAACTATTTTTTTGGGAGGGTCCCTAAGTAAAACTATTTTTTTGGGAGGGTCCCTAAGTAAAACTATTTTTTTGGGAGGGTCCCTGAGTAAAACTTTTTTTTGGCAGGGTCCCTAAGTAAAACTATTTTTTGGGAGGGTCCCTAAGTAAAACTATTTTTTTTGGGAGGGTCCCTAAGCAAAACTTTTTTTTTGGGAGGGTCCCTAAGTAAAACAATTTTTTTTGGGAGGGTCCCTAAGTAAAGCTATTTTTTGGGAGGGTCCCCAAGTATTTTTTTTTGGGAGGGTCCCTAAGTAAAACTATTTTTTTGGGAGGGTCCCTAAGTAAAACTATTTTTTTGGGAGGGTCCCGAAGTAAGGCTATTTTTTTGGGAGGGTCCCTAAGTAAAACTTTTTTTTTGGGAGGGTCCCTAAGTAAAACTATTTTTTTGGGAGGGTCCCTAAGTAAAACTATTTTTTTGGGAGGGTCCCTAAGTAAAACTTTTTTTGGGAGGGTCCCTAAGTAAAACTATTTTTTTGGGAGGGTCCCTAAGTAAAACTATTTTTTTTGGAGGGTCCCTAAGTAAAACTATTCTTTTGGGAGGGTCCCTAAGTAAAACTTTTTTTTTGGGAGGGTCCCTAAGTAGGAACCGGTGTTTTTTTTTTACTAGCCCCGGCTCGGGGCTTAACCCCGGCTCGGAGACTGGTTGGTTGGTTGGTTGGTTGGTTGGTCAGCCGGGCGGCCGCATCCCCAGCATGCCCAGCATTTCCGGTTTCTCGTCAAGGCTGCGTATGGGGCATGACTTTATGCTCGGGATAGCGCATCGCCAGCATTACTGGCCTCACTCGGACGAGAGCTGCTTTGGTTTGCTGGCAGTTCAGGGTTGATCGGGGCTGGTTTGGGGTGAGTGCTGTGCTTGCTGAGATATTAATGCGGGCGGGTCTTGGGTTTGTTTAGGGTTCATTTAGCCTCGGCAAAGGGCCGATATGCAGGATGCGGTTGGGAGGGTTTCAGGTTGACTTTGGGTCGGTTTTGGCTTGGTTGGGGCTGATTCGTGCTAGATGTGCGGCTGGTTTAGCCGTGGCTTTCGGGTTGCTTCAGGGATGTGGTTCTGCAAGTTTTGTGCTGGTTTGGGATTGGTTGTGGGGCGTTGCCCCAAACCACCAATCCTAGCCCAAAACTTGCAGAACCACATCCCTGAAGCAATCCGGAAGCCACGGCTAAACCAGCCGCACATCTAGCACGAATCAGCCCCAACCAAGCCAAAACCGACCCAAAGTCAACCTGAAACCCTCGGCCCTTTGCCGAGGCTAAATGAACCCTAAACAAACCCAAGACCCACTCGCATTAATATCTCAGCAAGCCCAACACTCACCCCAAACCAGCCCCGATCAACCCTGAGCTGCCACCAAACCAAAGCCAATAGGCAGCTCGCGTCCGAGTGAGGCCAGTAATGCTGGCGATGCACCATCCCGAACGCAGCCGTGACAAGAAACCGGAAATGCTGGGCATGCTGGCGATGCGGCCACCAACCCCCAGCTTGTGCCGAGCCGGGGCTAGTAAAAAGCCGGGGCTAGTAAAAAAAGACACCTCAACCCCCTAAGTATTTTTTTTTTTTGGGAGGGTCCCTAAGTAAAACTATTTTTTGGGAGCGTCCCTAAGTAAAACTTTTTTTTTTGGGAGGGTCCCTAAGTAAAACTATTTTTTGGGAGGGTCCCTAAGTAAAACTTTTTTTTTGGGAGGGTCCCTAAGTAAAACTTTTTTTTGGGAGGGTCTCCAGTTGCTCCAGCCACTCGCTCCAGCCACTGCGCATCCTCCAGGCGGTGAAGAGCTGCCCCAGTGCCCTGGACTTCGCCTCCAAGCAGCTCAAGGGCGACAAGGCGGATTTTTGTTGGACCACTTGCTGGAGGTGGATTTTTGTTGGACTTTTACCCTGAACAAGGGTAGAATCCCGTTTTTTTGTTGTTGGACCGGGGTTTCGACCTGAACAAGGGGAAAATCCAGTTTTTTTTTGGTTGGACCGGGGTTTCCACCTGAACAAGGGCAACAAATCCCGTTTTGTTTTTGTTCTACTGGGGTTTTGTTGGAAACCACCTGGACAAGGGGACAAAATTTCGTTTTTGTTGGACTGGGGTTTCCACCTGAACAAGGGCAAAAAATCCCGTTTTTTTTGGACTGGGGTTTTGTTGGAAATCACCTGGACAAGGGGAACAACAATCCAGTGGTTTTTGTTTTTGGCACTTTTTTCTTGCCGCGGTTTCCCCTACCGACTATACTCAAAAGTGGCGCGCGGGTCTTCCAAAAACCAAGCCGCTTGGGAGGTGGATGTGTTTGACTGGAAACCACCCTGAACCAGGTGAAGTCCAGTGTTTTTTTTCTTCTTCGCACCCCGCGGTGTTGCTTGGACAAAGCCAAGAGATTTTTCACAGGAACCCACTTTGGACCCCAGATGGTGTTTTTGACAAAACAGGGAAGCAATTCCGAAGCCAGAGTGTGGGGTTGGCAAAGCAGCGCACAACGAGATGGTCCCCAAGGGACACCAAGCGAGGTTGTTGGAACACTAGCTGGTTGCGAAATGTTTGTCAAACTTAACCTGCTCCTACCACGCCCCAAACACACTAGGCTAGTTTTAGTGCTTGATTCGGCAGTAGGGACTGTGGGCGAATGGCTCCCTTCCAATGAATGGACTTGCATGTGTCGCTCACTGATTCAGACGATTCAGAGCCATACCCAGATATGTCCTCGCCTTGCAATGACTTTTCTGAATCAGTATTGGACTGTAGGGAATGGCTGGGCCATGCTGGGCCGGTTTCCAAGTCAAGTCTCCAAGAAGCTCTCCCCCGTGCCTGCGTTTTTGTTTTTCCTTCCTGTGGCCCTTGGAGCACACTGGGCCAACTAACACATATTCCTCAATCTAGTCAAGTTCCCCCTCCCCTCCCATTAGTTATTGTGCCCCCACTAAGGGTCGTTTTCATGGTTTTTGGGCCCTCCATTTGCTTGTTCCTCTTGTTTTGGTTGGTGCCCTTGAGGATTTGGTCGTTTTCGTGCGGAGTTCTTCGGAGGAAGTGGTGCTGGCGGCTGTGTCTCGGTGCGGCTTCGCGGCGCTCCGAGAGGCGTTAAAATCAGTCGTCGTGCCAGACACCCCCAGAAACCCATGTTGCCGGGTCCAGTTGTTTAATGCCGAGAGGTGTCAAAGATCCAAGGTGAGATACATGGCGAGTCTGCCGTACCAGAACACGCCATTTTGTTGCCTAGGCCGGTTGTTGATGTGTTTTACACGTCAGTCCCGGGGGCATCCTAAGATAGTACGTTGAAGATTGACAGGACCCGCCAAACAGGTCCTCCATCGCCAAATCCATGCTAATTGTACCTGGTTGGGTGATTGTTACCCGCACAACTCGGGCCCACACAGTTTCCCTATGTCCTCTCTTGGGAAACAAGCAATGTTGTACGTGTATTTTCCTATGTCCTTGTGGGCAAGCAGTTTGGTCCGTGGGCCATGTTATGTTTTGTGTTATGGGTATGAAATCGGCAGAGCCTCGTTACCTTCAAATGGGTTGGGTAGAACTGGGCCCAAGAGGCAAGAGTTTCTTTCTTAGTTTCCCCAGGGCATCATAGCGACAACCTTAAAGTCTTCCAAAGCTTTACATGACAATTCCCTGTGAGAGTGACTTTGGGAACCACATTTCTCGGTCACTTTGAGCCCAGTTGCCTTGAAGAAACTTAGTCTGCATCTTCAAGAGGGGTCCCATTTTGTTCACGCCCGGCTCCCTCGCGTGCAATGAGCATGAGCGCGACCTTTCGTGGCGATTTGCGGCATTCGACATTTGACCCGTATCGACCAGGGGTCTTCCCTTTTTCAGGGCGCCTACGGACTACTCTGCCGATTTTATAGCGAGCTCTGGGGGTATAACGAGCGAGAGCCGTGATGAAGGTCCTTTGCTTGGGGATCCCTTACATCAGTTCTTGCCACCCAAGGGAAGGGTTGACAAAACAGGTTCGGAGGGTAAAGAAAACAGAAAGGTTCCCCAAGTCAAGTTTTGGAATTCTTGTAAAGTTTGCAGAAAAGATATCTCTAAAATTGGTGAATTCTTTTGGAATTCTCGTAAATTTTGCAGAATAAGATCCGAAAAAAATGTTCAAAGTAAGACCCTGAGAGTAGGATACCACCCCCGCCCCCCCCCCCCCCCCCCCCCAGTCCAGCGGGTTCCTTCGGGTCAACGAGCCGAGACCTTGAAGTTTGCTGAGCCGCGGCTCCTGGATGACGAGGCGACTTTTCGCCGGAAGCTGCCTGCCCCGCTGCCCTTTTTCTTTGTCTCTGCAGTGCTCCTCTAGTGATCCTTTAGAGACTCCAGTGATCCTCGAGTGCTCCTCTTGTGATAGTCCTCCAGTGATAATCTAGGGAATGAGTTGGAATAACTCGGAACCATCCAACCGGCGGTTTCCTTGAAGGGGATTTGTGGGTTCATTCCTACATTCCCTACTGAGCGGCAACATGTTTTTTTTGGGAAAAGCGGAAACAGCATCATAATGTTCAGCGATTCTTCCGGATCAAAAAAAGATGGGTGACAAGAGTCAGGGCCAGTCTTTAGAGTCTAATAGAGCTAGTTGGTGGAGTTTGGAAGAGCATGTGGAAATTATGTTTCCCCCTCAAGCTAAGGGCAATCAAGGCTGGCCCCACCCAAGGATGCTTCAAACGTGTGCAGATGAGCAAGCCCTGGCAAGCGGTGTTCTTTCGGGGCCTGTGAAAAAGCCACCTTCTGTGGTTCGCCTGATTTGTTTTTACGACTTTGAGCAGGGCTCCTTAAAAGATTCATTTGGCCCATTTGAAGCATGTTGCTTTTTCCGCCAAAGTAAGAGGAAACCACCATTTACAAGGCAATGTTTAGGTGTATAATGCATCCGGATCCCTGGTTGAGGGTGTTGTTTTTACCTGAAAATCCAAGACCCACCTTGGAATCTTAAGCGAAGCTCGCGGATTGGTCTGGCCGAAGCTCCCGGCATAGATCCAGGCTCTTGGGCCTTGGCGCATGCGCGCATCGGCCGAGCTCTGGGGATTTGTCGGCCTTTCTTTTCGGGAAGGCCTTGGCGAGCAACGAGCTCAGTGGTTTTTTCCTTCTCGGAGCCAATCCCACTCACAAGAGTTTGAGCCATAGGTTTGACATAAGACTTGCTTGGGGGTCAGGTGGTTATATGGCCATGGTTAAAGTTAGAGCCCACCAACGCCTTGCCGATAAGTCCCCGAAGCGGGGTCACCAACCACTGGCCTCATGTTCCCCTTCTTCTTTGCGTGCAAGATTCGGATGGAGTCAGAATGGCCGGAATTGCCCCCTAGAATCCCAAAGCATGAGGGCGAACCCATAGTAGTTCCCGAGAAGGGTCCTCTGATGTCCTCTGCTATGTTTGGATTAGACTTCCTGGCCTCTGCCAGATCCATGTCATGCGGAGATCGATGAGCGGATGCGGTATGTCAGATGTTGAAAGCAACTATAGGCGCCTGGCGTCGCTGCATGTCCTTTGCGGGAGCCGGGTAAGTCCGTGTTGCTCCATTTTGTGGTGTGTTAGTGCCACTGTGACACCAAGGGCGTCCCTGTCTTAAAGTGACCAGGTCATGGGGTAGCCCGCTATTTGCCGCAGCAGGGGCTTTTCCACGCCAAACCAACTCCTTTTGGTGCCCTGCGACCTGCTCTTTAAGATCCCAGAGTCCAATGGAGAACCCATCGCCACCAATATTCAGTAACTGTCCTTGGACCCAAACAAAAAAAGTCGAATCGGACTCTTAAGGTGGTTGACCCCCTTTGTTTAAACGGGCTCATGATTTCAGCCGCCCCTTTGTCGTTCAACATAGTTTGCTCCCATGACCCCACCCCAAAAAGGCTGTTTCCTTTTGGCTTCCCTGCAAAAAAACCCACCAAACAAGGGGAGTTGTCCCCAAGGACGAGCCAAACCCACGAAATCGCTCGCGCGTTTTCGTCGATGCGCGCGCGGACTCCGCGCGCCAGGAGGTGATGCTGGCGGCGGCGCGGAACTCCCCGGCGACGCTGCGCTACGCCTCCCTGCGGATCCAGAAGAGCGCGGACCTGGCCACTCGGAGAAACCGCGGACCTGGCCAGTGGCTTGAGAACAGCCAGGTCCCCCACTGCAAACAGCCGTGGTTTTGCTGTGTCACTGCATGTCACCGTCACCTGCGTGTCGGAGCCTGGGAAGGGGTAGGGATATGAGCTTGCCTTTTAGTGTGGGTAACTAGGTCCCCAGCGAGGTGCCCTTTCTCACCAACTTGTTTGGGGTTCCCCTACTAAAATAGACTACAGAATAAAAGGGTACCCTTATTATTCTACCCTGTCTACTGGAGGACCTAGACAGGGTTGTGGGATCAACTGGTTTATCCCCCATGTCTGTGATGCAAGGGAATCTCCCCCTTTATTTGGGGGCTTCTTTGGGAAGCCCTTTCTTTCTGTTGTATCACAGAAGTGGTCATTTCCCACAGCCCTGCTTAAGAAGATATCGTGATTTCCCTTAAGTTGGTTTTAAAGAGAATCTGTCGCTGGATATATATATATATATATATCTATATATATATATATAAGTATAATTGTTTTCCCCCAGGGGTGAAACACAAATGGAAGTGATGTGTGGGCATGTGGGCCCTCAGTATTCTTATAGGCAAGCCACTGTAGGCAACTGCCTGGACTTTCAAATTATCACAAGAACGGGTCATGGCAAAATGATGGGGCGATTTTCATTTTTTTGACGGTAGATTGAGGGTCCAGGTAGATATGTTCCTGGTGTTTAAACCTTTTGTAAGGGTATGTCTCAAAATCGCGGACCCCACAAATGGGTTTCGATTATCCTTTTTCGTTTCCTTTTTGGCCAAGCAGAAAAAGGGTACCCGCAAAAAAAACAGACTGGGTGTAGGGGACATAGGCGTTCAACAAGTGTTCAAAATAACAACAAACTGCAGACCCCATGGGTCTGGACAGACTGGGCGCGGGGGACATAGGGCTCCGTAGTTGCGTTTGTTGTGTTGAAAGCTCGAGTCGTTTCATAGGGCAGTTGTGTTTGTTGTCTTGAAAGCTCGAGTCGTTTTGCATTTTCACTGCAAGACATAGGATCTGCAGATTCATTCTTTGTTGGAAAGCTCGAGGTGTGCATTTGTTCCAAGACAGGGGGCCTGCAGTTTGATTGCTGGTTTTTTGGAAACTCAACTTTGGTGCATTTTGCCAAGGGATGTTAGGACTTTAACTTTTTGCCAACTAATGGGTTTTTCACTAAACCACTGAAAGTTATTCACTTTTAGCAGGGGAGCAGAAAGCAACCGAGTCAAGGTTTCCGCAAGTGTTTATTGCACAGGGTTTGGCCTCGAACCGGTTTGCGTCTAGGCTGAATGGCAGCGATTCCGGGGTTCGATTGCACCCTGATCCGCCCGCTGAGCAGTGGTAGTGGTGGGGATGTTGCTGCTGCATTTGTTTTTCTTGTTTTTGTTTGCTTCGGGATCGTTCGGTCTCGACGTCTCAGAAGGTAGCTTAAAAACGAAGGGTTGGGCATGAAAACTGCCGTGTCGTACGAAACCACTGCCCAGCAAATTTGCCGCCTTCTCGAGACTTGACACGGAACAAGAGCGGTTGAGCCGCGAGACCGCCACCACCCGCTGAGCCAAGAAAACACATCGACTAGCCAAGACTTGAGGTTGGCCAAGCATGCCAAATGTCTGTAACGTCGCGTTTGGGTCTATAAATGCACAAATCGAGACTCAGCAGCTCCCAGCCTTGTGCTGGAACTGCTTGCGGCGCAATCGTGCCCAAAGGCCGCGCGCACCAAGATGAAATCTCCACACATCCCATACGCCTCCCCCTCGCAGACAAGGGTTCGGCGGATAAGATGTTTTGGGAGGCGTCTCTTACAACTCGAATGCGATTTATCTGCCCCGCAAGATGGCTCGGGCCACAACTCCCCTGTTGAAACCTGTCCAACCTCCTTCCGGTTTCTCTTTACTGGGGGCAGGGTTGGTCACCCTGCCGGATCATTTGGATCAAGCACGGCCAAACGCAGGCCAAATGCTGGTGACTGGCGTCCAAGGCAAGGCCAAACCATTAAAGAAAGAAACTCTGTTGGTGTTAAACTGTCGTTTCCCAAAATTAAGGGGTCATATGACCCCATTGTCTAGGGGCTATGGAGACTAGGAGCTGTCACTGGACATATTTAGAGCGAATGGAGGTCTCCAGTTGTTTGGCTCAGGTCTTGCGTGCGGTGCAGAGCAATCCCGGGGTGCTATTCCACGCCCACGAGAGCCTCCGCAACAGCAAGGAGTGGCCGGTGGCCGGCTCACAAAATCGGCAAGCTACCGCTGGTGGTGAGTAGGGGTGGCCAGGGTCAACGCAAATTCATACAACAAAAGTAAGCTTATCCGGCAGGGCTCCTTAAAAGATACATTTTGCCCATTTGACACATGTTGCTTTTTCCACCATAATAAAAGGGGCCCACCATTTACAAGGCAATGTTCAGGTGTATAATGTAAGGATCCCCGTCCGGCGGAAGGACCTTTGGATCAAGTCAATATTGGATCCTTTGCTCCCCCCAAAAGATACATATGTTCAAACACGTGTCCTGGAGACAATTCTTGAAAGATATTCCCAACCATCCTAAACGACCGAAAACAATCCACCAGAGAAATTCCCAACCAGCAGTTTCCGAGGCAGCCTGCCAAGATTTCTTTCCAGACATGCCCCGGAGATACCCACAGAGACAAACCTGAAACGAAGTCCCCACCAATGACATCCCCCTGCGCAAAAACTGGTGTGTTTGTTCAACTTGTTGTTCCCAAGCGACCCTCTAAAGAGATTGTGGGGGGTCAATGTGCGAAACCCGAGTGCTTTGCAACTTTTCAACGAACTCTAGAACACGACGCGTCTCGAACACGACCTCCACCCCCAGAGTTTTACTTATAAACTGGAACCCTTGGCTGCGCATTCGGGAAAACGCGTTAACCACACACATTTGTCATCTCAGTTAGTTTGGTCTACGATGGCCAGGACTTCATTTTGCGGGTCGTGAAGTGCCGGGGAGACGCGTTGAGGCCGGGCCTATGTTCATCCTCCTTGTGGTTACAACCACTCGTGCTTCCAACACGCTTTAATACCCGAATTGGGATGGATCTGGGAAAATCAGAATGATGCCATGTTTCGGGGGCATGCATGATGAAGGTGTTTTCAGGTATGAGTCCCGTATTTTCCATTGGTGAATGGGGCTTCGCCAAGGTGAACGAAAGAAAACAACACAGAAAGAAAGACAGAAAGAAAAGAAAGAGAAAGAAAGAAAGGTCGGTAGTTTAGTTTGCCCAGACGGACGAATCCCTATTTGAGATGAACCACCAACCGGTGTCGATCTGCGTGGATTTTGTCCAGTTCCTTGTGAGGGCGTTTGTTTTTTTCAGGGTTACAACTTGATTTCCCTGAGTTCAGTCGGGAACCCATAAATGGTGCTTTGGACTCCAGCTTGTTTCTTCACCAAATGGGGAAGATACCCCCCTCCCAACTAACCACCAAGCCAAACCACCAAATAGTAAGGTGATTCAGGGCTATGTTTCGCATGTCTAAGGGTGGAAGTACATACCCCTTGTTCATACCGGTTCCTTGGCTTCCGTGGTTTCCAGCCCTCTTGGGGCGAGGGGTATGAACATCAGCAGGCCTTGGGGTATGTAAAAGGGGTTTGTACAAGCACCCCTGGATCATGTCGAGTTGTAAGGCCAATTGAAGGTGACCTGAGCCATTCTGGGCCTCTCGGTTGGAATAGCGAGCGAGTCCAGTCTCAGAGGTCTCAAAGCGCTCCGTTGGCTCGAGGTGTGCGGAGAAGTTTCGAGAGGATAAAGAGGCGCCGGAAAGTGTTGATCGGAGATGTTGGATGTCTTGTCCCGGGTCTGAAACTAGGTCCCTCAGTAGTGCCCGTTTACCCTTTCTTTTTGGGTTGGGAGGGTTCCCTTACTAAATAGACTACAGCAAAAAGGGTACCCTTATTCTAACCTCTCTACTGGAGGACCTAGGAAAGGACACTTATATCATCTCTGTCATCTCCTGTCGCTTTCGAACAAGATGGGGTACCTCCCAACTCAGGGATCCTTCCTTCCCAAGTCCCAAGACTAACCGGCAGGTGCTTCAAAAAAAAAAACATGGTCGAAAAAGAACCGACACCTTTTTTGCCGCCCCGATGAAGTGGCTACAATTTGTTGCACGCTCCTTTTGCCCGAATCAGCGGTTGGAAGAAAATCGATTCCTCACTTTCGCTCGCGTGGACCTGGAGATCCCAAAAGGTCCCCAGAAGTTGTCCTGGAACCTGGAAGCACCCCTTGAGGCCTAGTAAGCAATTCCTTTCCAACATTGCGTGTAGGTAACCAAGGGAACCACCATTTCAAAGCCGAGAGGATAATTGTTGGTTTGCTTTTTTAGTGCCTGGGATCAGAAAAATAAAAGAAACCACGTTTGGATGTATAGGTAACCAAGGGAACTACGATTTAAAAGAGAAAACTTGTTGGTGACTTATTTTAGTGCCTGGGATCAGGAAAAATAATAAAGAAACCCATGTGTCCCAAAGGATTTAAAAGAGGAAACATGTTGGTTACTTATTTTAGCGACTGGGATCAGCAAAAATAAAAGAAACCCATGTGTTGTAAGGACAATTGTTGGTTAGTTATTTTAGTGCCTGGGATATGCAAAATAAGAAGCATTAAGAAACCCATGTGTTGTAACGATTTAAAAGAGGAAAATGGTTGGTGACATATTTTAGTGACTGGGATCAGCAAAATACGAAACCCATGTAAAGCAACCAAAACCGCCGGCAGGTGGTGCTGCTGGCAGTGCGCCAGAACGGCCACACTCTTGCCTTCGCCTCCGAAAGCCTGAAGGACGGCCCGATGTCGACGGGAATGGCCTTCCGCTTGCTGGGAATGAACCGGCAGGGGATTCCTTAAAGGAGGCCGGATTCAGGTTGTTTTTCAGGGATCCAAAAGGTAAGGGCTCTGACACCAAATAATTGGGTGTGTGTTGTTCGTTGTGACCCGTTGCTCGAGAAAGAAAAATAAGGTGACCCGTTGGTGGACAGCAGAAAAGGTGGGGATTCATGTCCACCAACTGCTTTGATTACGTATTAAAGCTCATAGCTAATGGTAAGGTGACTCGAGCATCACCAAGCCAAACTTGGGGGGCAACTCCTTTTCCTGCTGGCATTGCAAAGCATGTGTCCCATAGTTGGCATTATTAGTATTAGTGATATGATTATTACTATTGATGATCTTATTGTTAACATTATTATCATTGTTGTTAGTATTACCGGTATACCATAATTATGATTATCATCATTAGTATGATTGTGATTATGATGTTTATTGTTATTTAATTATTATTAAGATAATTGGTGTTGTTATTACTTGTTATCATTATTACTATTAGGATTATTATTATTTACTACTACTATTATTATTGTTTCCAGATGCTATTTTCAGGTAATTCTGAGGAGGCTGTTTGTCGCCACAGTCTTTTCGGGGTGCTATGTCAATACCTAGTTTCGGTCATGTCTTAGAAACCCGGGTTTGGGCACTAGTAAACCCAGTGTGTGCGAACCATGTTGAGTCAAGGCCTCCCAAATATTAACCAGTTCTTTCTATTTCCTTTGGGCGTGCAAAAGTTTGGAGCCTCGATTTTCCAAGTCGGATTTGGGATCCATATGGATCCATGAGCCGCACACCGACCAAAGTTTTGGGGTTTCAGCAAATCCTTGAGGACCGATTTGGTCCGAAAAGTCGGATTTGGGAGCAAATCCGTTTTTTGGGATCCAACCGAACCTAAAGTCCCAAAGTCCAGCTGCTGCTCCAGCCAAACCACAGTCCCAACGTCCGTTCTGGAGTTTCAGCCACTCCGTTCGGAGGGATCCAACCGAACACCCAAAGCCCAAAGTCCGGTTTTTTTGGGGGGTTTCAGATCCCATCGGATCCGTGAGGACGTTTTTGGGGGGTTTCAGAACCACTCGAGGACGACAGGGAGGTGGTCTTGGCGGCCACCAACACCCGGGGCAGCTCCTTGGTCCACGCCTCCGCGCGCCTGCGCCAAGAGCGCGCCGTGGTGCTCTCCGCGGTGAGCCCGGGGCCATGGAGGGCCATGGATGGCCATGGATGGCCATGGATGGCCGGCGGAACTGAAGGTTCCAGGAGCACAGGAGTTGGTTTGTTGTTTTTGTTTTTTGTTTTTTTGTCAGAAATGTTAACGTTTTTTTTGTTGTGGTTTCTCGTTTTTTTTCTAGAACCACGTGGATGGAGGTGTTTTTTTTTGTGGTCAGAAACTCAACGTGTTATTTTGTTTTCTAGAACCACGTGGATGGAGGTCTAGATAGGTGGATGGGTGGATGGATGGATTGACTTGTCTTAGGACAAAATGCCGGCAGGGCGGAGGTCATGGAATGAACGTGACCAGGAGTTGGTTTTTGTATTTCTCAGATCTGAATGCCGGGGGAGCCTACACAAAATGGTCTTAGGGGGCCATTTTTGTCTTGGGAGCTTACAAAATGCCGGCGGTGGAGGCCATGGAATGAACTGGGTGACCTTAGAGGAAAGGTGCTGTGGCCAGGACTTCCGTGACCTCAGAGCCTCAGGTCAAGATGGCTCCGCCTTAGCTTATGGCAGCGATGACTTCAGGCCTGTGGGGTGTTCTGCTGCCGTTGTTCGATGTTTGGGGCTCGAAGCGTATCCCCCAAAGAATGGGGAGCTGGTCTGAAGATCACATGTGCCGATTTTTCCCTGAGGGCTCCTTGGGATGCAAAGGTTTCTCGCAAGCAACTCACGACGTGTCCATGTAGAAAGGGTGTAGGCTCACCCGATTCTTCAAGACAGCAGAGGCGAACTGGTGTCCAGGATTTGCCCTCAGTTGATCTGTTATTTTCCGTGAAGAAATGCGGGTTTATCTCATTGGTTTCCCTTGAACACTCGCCCAAAAGAAATACCATCAAAAAAGACAAGCGTCCCATACATGCAACCGAAGCCCGGTTTTGGGCTTCCAGTACACCTTCTGGGGTCGCGTTGGACAAGAAGCCTTCAGACAACTCCTTGTTCACCCCAGCTTCCCTCCTTTGCCACTTGTTTCGTCTTGTTTCTGGCGAGCTTTTAATCGGAACTCTTCAAACTTTCCAAACGCCACCTTGAAGCCTCTTCATTACGTCTCAGCTTTTGCAAGAAGTTCCTTCCCCGAACTGAGTGTGCTCGTGTGTCGCGCAACGTGCGGCCGGGTATTGCCTTGCGCTGTGAGATCGGGCCCCTCCATTGGCCATTATAGACCCAACCGTTCGACCGGGCGGAAGCCCATTTTGCTCTGAAAGGATCCGGGGTGGCAACCACAGAACGGTACCACTTTTTTCCATACCGAGAGGCTCCCGATTGATTTAGGGCCCTCTAACAACCAGGTTTTCAGACCCCCAAACACCTCCGTGTCCAACGCTTCGGAATCTGGGTCTTCCATTGAAGCCGAATCTGGTAGGAAGCCATGTCGCGCAGCCGCGAAACAGCTTGCAAGAGCGAAACCGCGAGGAAGGACCGAGAGTTCATCTTGCTGGCGGTGGCGCTGAACGGTCTCTGCCTGCAGTGCTCCAGTCGCGACGCTTTTTTGCCGGTGTGTGGGGAGGAGGTGCCCTGAAGTGGTAACCCCATATTGATCAACTCCGGTTTAGTAATTTATAAAGGTGGGGTAGGGGCTCCTCTGAAAGTGATAAAACAAAAAGGAGCACCCCCCAATTCATACACTGGGGTTGATTCATGTGGGTTGAATATTACAATACCCCCTTAGAATGGCCGCAAAAACAAGATGTGTTACCAAGATCAACCGACGAAGGGACATGCAGATTTCTTTGCCTGGGTAAGAGCTCGTCTTTGCAAACAAAGTTGGCGAGCTTTGTTCCCTACGTGTTCACAACCCACAGGCGCGCCGGGATTGAACAAGGTGCCCGTTTGTGTCTCGTTCAAGTCAGCCAACAACAAAGCTAGGCCCTTGGTGTCAGTGGATCTATTGGTGTTATGAGGGTTATGGCCTTAAACCGAGTAATCGAATCAACTGTATCCATTTTAGAACCAACATCATGTTGGATTTGTCTCAAAGGGGGGTTCAACCTTTCTTGGTGGTTCTCCTTTTTTTTCCCTCTGTCCCCCCTCTTGCGAAACGGGGATCACAAAACCCGACAGATCCCCAGTTTGTCCCTCCAGGGAAGCAAACCAATCCTCCCCCCAAAAACGGGGATCCCGGATCTCTCAAGGTAAACTAAAAAAATCCCCCCCCAAAAAAAAAAAACAAAAACAAAAACAACGGGGATCCTTTATGGATCCCCCCCAAAAAAGCGCCCAGAGGGATCCAAAACCCCCGACGTTTCGGAGGTACGCCTCTGCGGAGCTGCGCGCGGACCGTCAAGTGGTGCTGCAGGCCATCCGATCCAAACCCTCCGCGCCCGGGGCCTCACAGCGTGAGGCGGCAGCAGTTCTGAACCAAACCGATCTTTGGAACCTCACCGTTGTTGGAGAAGGTGTGTTGCTTTCAGGTGTTTACGGTTGTCTTAGTTGTTTTAGTTGTTATTATCTTGTACTTATTTTCTGCAGTTGTTTTGTTTTTTAGATGTTGCTTGTTTTTTTGTGAATGTTTGTTTTCCGGTTTGTAGGCGTTTGTTGGTTCCGTTCATTTTAGTAAACTGCAAAGAACAGCCGGTTGTTTGCTACCGTACCAAGGGTTGTTAGACCTGCAGGTTTTCCCTTTTTGGTCCAATAGTAAAAAGGTCCCAAAATGACAATATTGGATATTAATTCCGTCCTGGGCAAGTGAGTAGGGTGTCTCTTGTTCTTTCTTTTTGTGGGGGGGGGGGCGGTTGAAGGGAAGCCCAAAGGAAAGTAACATGTGCTTGGCGTATTTGATTGAAGACACGCTTAGCATTAAGGTTCAATGGGGAGCCCCCTCAAAAGTAGTTGGTGGATGTAAATGCCCTAAAAGTCCACCAGGTCCCGAACGAAATTCACGCTGCGACAGCCCATGTCGAACCCGGAAATCCCATTGATAAAACTCGTGGTTACCTCTTTGGGGTCCCATTTCCGAGTTTTAGGCCACTTTTAGAAGTCCCGGGTCCACGAGATCCACATAGCTGGCCTGAAGGAACCTTTTTCGATGGGTGTCGGAGAAGATTCACAGTGACGCTGTGACGCAACCATCTGCGGTACAAGCCCTTGAAGCCCTCAGCCAAGCAAACTGTCATGCATCTGATTTTTTTCTAAGTGACCTCCACTACACACACAGAACCGTTTCTTCCCAACCTTTCCATCACGTTGAGGGACAAAGCCCACGCAAGCAGGCGCATATTGGCAAGGCCCTGGGCTTGCGACCATTGCTGGAACGCTGATTTCCGAACGCTGGCCGGTTGCGTGGTTTGAGGAAGCTCTAGTAATCCGAAATCCCGAGATGGTGGTTTAAACGGAAGCAAGGATCCATTAAAATGACAGCCATAGCCATAGAAATCGATATGGCAAGAACCGCTCATTTGATTTGCCATGGTCCCAGGTGTTCATGACTCTCAAATATTTCAAGGTCACTGTTGGTGAAAGGGAAACCACCGGGTCCCAATGGTAAGCGACGGGTTCAGTGGGAGCAACTCACTACCCTCGCGGCTTGAGGGAGACGCAGATTCACCGGATTGAATTTTCCCTTGTTGAAAAGAAACCGTGAATCCACTCGCATTCAACGGTATTCAACGATTCAACGGGACCAAACTTGCTGACTTCTTTTTGTCGGAACCCAACCGAGGATTGCAAGAAAACTCCAGGTTTGTTGGGTAATGTTGGCTCCAGACTAATACACCTCTTTTCAGAAATAGCGGCGTCCCCTTGGAATTCAGCACTGGAGGGAAGTATTCCAGGAATACCCCTAATGAAAGGACAGGTTCATATGGGGTCAACATTGCAGGGGTTCCAGGCATCCACGCTGAGGTTGGAGCATGCGGACTCCAGGCTGAAGCGCGACCGCCGCTCGGCAGAACTTGGCCACCTCCTCCTTTTTTGGCCGCGGTCGACCCTGACCAAAAGTCGAAGTCTAAAAGATATACCTTAAAACAGCGGGAATCGGGAGAAGGGGGCAAGGGTGGATTGAGAAACAACTGGGCTTCGGGCCATTCTCTGAAGAGAAGGGTCCCTGATGTGCATATGAGGAAGGTACGGCTAACCCGTCTGTTGGTTGATGTGCATCCGAGTGATTTGACTTTATGTTGACCGGAAAGAATCAAGGAGTGCAGACCTCCTGTATGTTTCCTTTCATCAACCCCAGTACATCCCAGCTACTACTAATCACAGTAACCCTTCGCCATTACCCTTTCGTTTTTTAAAAGGCTGGTTCCAATCGATTACCTGCTTTGACAGGTAAATGGAATCACGGGCGCCGAAAATGGATTTCATCCAACCCCCTGTTTATCCAATCCGGCCAAATTGCAAAGCTTCGTTTTGACAAGCAGTTAGCGGCATCAAGTCACATGAGCCTGTACTTCCCTCAGAATGAAAATGGTGTTGTCATCCAAGACAATAGACAGATTGGACAACCATGCGTGGATTCAGTTTGATTGGATGTCATGATAAATATGAGGTGATTCTGTGGGATGTTGTTTGCCCTCATCTTGGTGGAAAGGGGAGGCAAAGGGAACCCTAAACTCTTGACTGCTATTGGGTTGGATCTTTAGACTTTACCTAAACTTCAACTTTTTGGGAAATCAAAAAAGGGTTTTCCACTAATCCCCCAAAAAGTTAAACTGCTTGCAGGGGGGTCAACAGCAACCAAGAACCATGTTGGGGGGCAGCAAATCGCTCATTCTCAGGTTTGGTTTGGCTCGCGCTAAGCCGTCCCGAACGCTTCAGGGGAGATCGTGCTGGCGGCGATGTGCCAAAACCCGGACTCGCTGGGCTTCGCGTTGGATTCCGCGGGGGCGCCCGGGGAGTTGAGCAAGGGGCAGAACCTATGGCTCCATTTTGGGGTGGATGACATCAACATTTGCCACCTATTTTGATGTTCACCAGGGGTACAGGGTTTTGACCCACAGCCATTTGAGCAAGGGGATGGGGCGCACGGCTGGCCCAATGCCACTGGGCACAATATGTTCCGCGGCTGAATTCAATGCCGGAGACGAAAAGTGTTTCTGTAGCTTTCCCTCCAGCATAGAACCCAAGGGAAGCTCCCTGGATCACTAATTTCTTCTCAGCAAGCTCATGGCAATGAATGTGTTCTTCTTCCCCAGTGGGGCTAACTATGTCTTCGGTTCTTACCTGCCGGTCGCGCGTCAGAACCCAAAGACTTGCGAGACGTTTTGAGTGGAACCGGAAGTTTGGTGCTAAAGGGAAGCTATAGGGAAGCTAAAGGGAAGCCACCGACACCCCGTTTTGGGAATGTGGGTCGATGATATCACATAAGATCAATATTAGGGGGCGACATAGGGGGGAATACTAGTCGTTCCAGAGAGAGCCCTTCCCGTGTTTGAGGAAACCACATAGTTCATCTAATCTGTTGAAAAAGGGGGTCTAACCTAAGGGTTTGCATGTTCCTGGTCTCTCGGTGGCTAAATCAGTTGACCTGGGTTGACTTGCATCCCTTGCCATGGGCGAGAAAATATGAACAAAGCCCTTTTGATTCCACACAAGAGGTGTTGGGTGACCACAAAAGCGCGCTGAAGTCGTTCTACCTAAAGCTTCGCCAAGCAAAGCTGGGCCGAAAAATTGCCCTTAAGGGCCATTTTGCTGGTGGGAATCAGGGAATGGGTGCTCAGGGAATCAGGGAACCCTATACGATCCCCTATGGCTTCCTGAATGCCCAGGTTCATTCCCGCACTCCCCACCTGCACCAAGCCACGTATCAAGTTTGCCTTTGGTTCCCGCCCTTCGCGTCTTCCGGTCGGGTCTTCGGCTAAAGCTTCCGGACTCAGAGGAATCTTCCGGAGTTTTTGGTTTGATTCCCCGCTGAAGGGGGGGGGTCCGATTTCAGATTCCTCAGTGACGACAGCATGGCCGCAAGGGTTTCCAGCTGGGGGCAGTTGTCATTGGCCCGTCGGACGCATCTGACTTCAAGATGGGCTGTCGCATTCGGCACATGGATTACTGGGGTGCCCGGGGAATCTCCCCATGTCGAGCCTTCCAGATAAAACCTGGACAGCCTGGTTTATCCGGGGTCATTTCCCTAGCTGCAAATGTTTGTGTTTTGGCTTTTTGTTGCTCATTCAGGCCTTTGCGTTTCTTTCCCGCGGCTCATTTGACAAATGTCCGGGCTGGGGCGGCGTATCTCCTTGAGGCATCGTGGGAAGCAAGGTGATGTGTGTTTGTGCAGAAGGTTGATGGATTTGGGTGTGGCACAAAATTTGAGGGCTGGAGCTGCGCAGATCTTGGTCTTCGTTTCCATCCAAGAGGCCTAAAAATTATTGGCTCCACTTTCTCGAGCCGCAGCCATTGGTTGCTTTGGGGAAATGGATCGATCTTCCCCACTAAGCCCAGGTTTGGGCGGAGCTTGCAACCAGACTCCGGTTCCCCCTGAAAAGAATCAAGAGGAGGTACACAAGAGGTGCTTAAACATCCTCTTGCTTCCCAAGCTTTTGGAACTGATTCTTGGATTTGGACCATTCTGGTAAGCCACAAAATTTCACAGGGCTCCTTAACAGATACATTTTGCAACCATTTGAAACCTGGCTTTTTCAACACCAAAATGAAGGGACACCACCATTTACAAGTTGCAATGTTCAGGTGTATAATGCATCCGGATCCCTGTTTCAGGGCCCGTTTGGGTTTCCAATTGGACGTGGGTTTGTGGGACCCACCAGCCCGAAGTCAGGTCAAGAACGACGACATCTTCATGATCTCTGCCATCGCCAGGCGAAAGACGAGCCTCAAATAGACGGCGGCAGGGGCTTTGAATTTTAGTGCCTGGCAGGAGCACTGATTGTACCCCTCAACCCGGTTTGGTGGTTTCCCAAGTTGGTGTTAGGCCTGGTATAATTATCTTTATATATATATATATATACAGTACATAAATGAATGTATACTATGTATAATATGTACATATTATATGTTTTAATATGTGCATTTATATATATATATACAAACAAAGCATATATGCATTGTTTTGACCCCTCCCCCCTCCCAACACCTACCAAACACGAGACGTGCCAAACTGATGTCATATGAAGATGTGCAGAGAGCTGCCAACGAGTTAAGACATATTTTGCGAGGCGTCAACCCGTAGGCCACAAATCGCCCTTAACATAGCATATTGGCATAAGAAATACCATTCAGGTACTATATGTAAAGGAGTTAGTAATCCACATGCTTCTAATGCATTATCTGGATGTGAGAAAGAAGAGAACCCGGAGGTAATTTGAAGAAGATATAGATAGAGAATTAATACCTTTCCATAGAAATCTTTACTAATAATGAAAGGGAAAAATGCTATTTTATTATTAGTGGAATTCCTGTTAGGATTATTAGAAGATAGAAAATGTAGATTAAACATATGATAAAGAAGAAAACCACAAAGAAGAAATGGAAATAGAAAATGAAAGACAAAGAACCTCTTCAATGTTGGATGGTAAACATAATGTCCTCCACAAAGCCATTCTATTAAAGATGGAATGGGAGATAATATATTTGTAATTACTGTAACTCCCCATAAACTCATTTGTCCATTCGGTAAAACATAACCCATAAATGCTGTTCCCATTAAGAAGAAGTAAATAATAATTCCAGAAAACCAAGTATTAGGATGGCCCAACATTGGTCCGACAGAGCCATATGGAGGGGATCCAACTCGAACCTCATCCATGCAGAATGGACGAAGCTCCCCTCGTAACTCCCAAATTACCAAATCTTCAGAAGCCAAGAAGACCAACCCACCTTTCTTTCCGGGTAATTGAAGCGATTTCAGAAACTCCCAACATTTGCCCGTTTTTGTTTGTTTTTTGTTCGATTCCTTCGCCTCTTCCACTGTTGTCAGGCAACCACAAACCTTGCAGTTCGCGTCCGAGCGCCTACGCGGCAACAAGGACGCGCCACCTGCGGGCCGTGTGGGTGTGTGTTCTTGGCCCGACCAATCCCTCGTGGGGCCTCAAAAACAGTCCCGTTTTGGCCCAGCAACGGTTTAGGGGTGCACCCTTGTCAGCTTGGTTTGAAGGAAACCAAAGGAAAGTCCCTAAGTGCACTAAGCCATACTGTGACGCATACCTTCTGGCGCTGGTTTCCGAGTCCAGGCCAATGGATTTGTTTTCCCATGTTTCCCTCTCTTTTCGAGGGGCTTCCCCTTTAAAGTCAAGACTGCCTTGCCAGAGAGAGTGGGTGTAAGTTGCGCCCTCGCTTGTTTGACTTGTGTTGGAACAAGCCTGTCATATGCAGCGCGCGTGTGCTGGCGTCAGTGTAGGTGCTGGAAGGATGTTGAATGCGTTCTTTGTTCGCGCAGCCGTTGATGCGTTTCATATTATCATTGCGCATTGTTTCCTGCCCGGGAAGGGGAGGGGGGTTGGGCATCATGGAGATCATTTTTCAAGGGTCGGCGGAAATGTTGACCCCGGATCAATAAACCAGTCCCATTAGTAGGGGAGTGTTTCCTCCAAAAGTGGTCTGAATCCCCACTAAAAGGGGACACCCCCCAATAGCAGTTTTATTAATCCGGGGTTAGCATGAGGAAACAAACAAGTTGGATATGACTCTTTGATGGTTGACATTGATGTTTACCAAAGACTCCCAAGCAAAATCGATGCCAGTTTCTTTTATTTTGACGCTCCGCGCACCGGGTACTAAGTGGTACTATGTTCCTGGAAGTCAAAAGGTTTCGCCTTTTAGGCTCGATGCTTTCCCAGGACCTCTGGGCAGCTGGGTCAAACATCAACCCCAGGGTTCAACCGTTCCCTTTAAAAGAATGGCCTTGGGACCCCAATGTGGACAACCCTTCGGCAAACTGTACGGTGGATATATGGCTGTGGGTCAAAATTAAGCAGCTGGGGTTACGCAGGCTACCTTTCCATTTACCAGAGTTCCATTTTGGACCCCTATTTTTGAGCCACACCCATATGAACCCGACCATTGTTTGAGTGGGGGCCTGCCTGAACCCGGTGAAGACCGACCCGTTCGCTAGGACGTGGTGCTGGGAGCCATCAAAGGCTTCGCTCTCGGAGCTCGACGGAGTGGCGACGAGCAACTCCCCTCCCCAACGAGTGCTGTTTGAAGTTCACTTGGGGATTTGGAGTTCTACTGCGGATGGTTGCGAAATCCGCTTCTCCCGTTCAGAAACCCTGGTTGCTGATGATTCCCCTCTAAACACCAACAACCAGTGGTTTCAATCATGGTTATTCAAAGTGGTGCGAACGGATTTCGTCCATCCAGGAAACAAATTATAAAAAGCGGCTGGAGGATCTGGCCCTTGACACGAAACGCCGAGAAACATCTACCCCGTTCCCAACCATCAAGAAACGCGGCGTCTCCAGCGTTTGGGTTTGCCCTGAAAAATGGGCGCGGATGTTTCTCGTGTCCCTGAAACTTGACTGCTATTGGGTTGGATTGTAAGACTAACTTTTTGGGAAATCAAGGGTTTGTTTACTAAACCCCCCAACAAGTTCAACTTTTTGCAGGGGGGTCAACAGCAACCAAGGAAAGAAGCGAAAAGGGGCACAGCGCAGCTCGAAGCTGCGTTTGGGGAAGCCTGTCGAGGTCTTGGCGGTCAGCCAAAGCTCTCCCCACGTTCCATGCCATGCGGGTGGGGGCAAAGAGAAGCAGGGAAAGCGAAGCAACCGAGAAGGGAACTTCCAACCGTTCTCTTTCCGGATTTGAATCTGAAAGGGCAACAAGGAAACCGACCATTTTGGAGGAAGAATTCCCAAAGAAAACCCCACCAGTTCTGGTTTCCCATAATTTTCAGACAAAGCCATTTACCACTAAAAGGGTTGGTACAAGGGACCTGTATTGTATTGGAGTGGAACAGGGTGAAAACCCAAGAAACGAATGTGGGTCTGTAAAGCGAAGGATTCTCATTGTGCATGTGTCGGCTGTTGCATGAAACGCAGCCCAGACGAGGCCTAAAACCAGCTCCGGTTCGCCAAAAAATGGTTTTGTGAATGTTGGCTCCTTTTTAATTACGATAGATGAGCACCACCGGAAGACTACTGGACTACCGGAAGACTAGCGGAAGACTACGAGAAGATCATGCGAAGACTACGGGAAGAGACAGCAAGATTACATTCGAGTCTGTCTGTCAAGAGAGAGATTCCAGTTTGGCACAGGGTTTTGGCGGCTCACTTTTCGCAGGAAGAGGTGCTTCTGTTCCAAGCTCAAGGTATTGGTTTCCTTAGGGTCTAGTTGCCTGAGCCGCGAGCTTGATTCGGACTTGTGCCAGGTGCTCCAAGCGGGTGTCGTTCTCTTAATCTGAATATGTTGCTTGATTTGGCTCTGTCGGCACTTGCACATGCCCCCACCCAAAAAAGATAATAGCGAAAATCCAGCCCTTTTGTTTCACCTTGGCTTCCAATTTAAAACTAAATCGCCAGAAAGGCAGGTCTAAATGACTTCCCGCTTCATGGTAGGTGCTAACACCAAACCGAGCTACCAAGCTTCAACAAGCCGGAGCCAATCCCAATACCAATACCCTAAACCCAGCCCAAAGCCAACCGCTCAACGAGTGGCCCGGCAGGCATGCCGGGAGCCGTGGAGTATGCTGCAGACAGCTTGAGGTTCGGCCGTTGATGCAGACCCTCCAGACATGAGGGCCCGAGTTTTGAGCCCACAAAGACACGCCCTCGAAATGGGGATTCCCCGGGCCCCGAAGAAGATTTGGGGCTTCTAGGTATGTTAGGGTTCTTGAAGCCAAAAGTGCCAACCGTCGCCTGAAACAACACGTATACACGTGGCTGGAAGCCCTTGGAAGGGAAAGTGGGGCCAAAGTATTTCTCACATTTCGAGACCAAACACTTTGACACACCAGCAATGTTCCAGCTATACCTGGCCTGTATAAGAATTTAGGCTTTCAACCGGTTTCATGAAGGTCGCTTTCTCAAAAAGCCCATGGGAGCCATGGTGTTGGGCGGGTGAGAACAATTTCCCTTTTAGTCCAGTATTGGATTTCAAGGGATACTTGGGTGCTCTAACCACTTGCTAAGTAGGTTATATCCATGGATATAAGTGGGGCAACTGCGGTTAGTTCCCTTACAACCATGGTTGTAGCCTAGCAAGTGTTTTGAGCTCCCAAGTCTGGGGTGGACTAAGTTTTCCAAGAATGAATGAAAGGTGGTGTCCCCGGGCCGGTTTGTGTCTTTCGAGGGGAAAGACCGTGCATCGCATGTCCTTTTTTTAAGTCCCTTCCGCTGGACCCTCCCAGGTTGGACACAATCTGTGCCCTTTGAAGAATTTGACATTCCGATGGCAACAAGTGGCTGTGGTGGTCAAAAATAGGGTAACCCCCAAGCGGAACCCTTAGAAGGAAACATGGACTAACACCTGCGGTTGTTTGGCGGTTTAATTTTCACCCACCGCCAAGTGAGCCACAATCAAATCCTGGGTAAATGGAGGTTAAGGGGCGATCCCAGCCACTAGCTGCGGATATCCGCCTTCATCCTTCGGTTCATGGTTCTGGGACGACCATTGCACCGAGCGGTTTTGATTGCGACTCAGTTCAGAGAGCGGCGCTGGGCCAGGCAGGATCCCGACTTCCTGCGGCGAGCGCTGCAGATCAACGTGGAGCGGGCTGACGCGGGCTTTGCGGAAGCTGAAAGACTCGGAAGGTTTTTGAAACGGGTTTTCCTCTGTTTGGGTTGGTTTTTGTTCACTCACCCCTGTTTCTATGTGGATGTGGCTCACAATTAAACAGGAGGGGCAAACCGCGGGTTTTGGTCCATGTTTCCACTTACCCGGGTTCCATTTCGGTACCGGTTTTTTGAGCCACAGCCATGTTTGTTTAGAGTGAGACAACTAGGACTGCCACCCCTTTTGGGCGTTTTGGCAGGGTCCTCTCAAAAAAGACACAGCCGTTTTGGCATTCCCTTGTTGGTTCCCAGAAGTTGAGGGCAACAAAACTTGATTCAGGTCTTCCAATCGTCTTTGGGGCCAAACGACCAAGAGCTGGAGACCAATTCTATAGGTGTCCTTGTACCTTGAATTCTCAGAGTTTAGTTTGGTTCCTGGGTCGAATCTAACTTTAGTGAAGAGACCAAAGGACCCCTTGAGCCCAAGACCAGGGTCTGCTCCAAGAATCTGATATATGTTCGGGGAGAGAAAATATGGGCCAGGTATAGGGAACGAGTTTCATGTGGGTGACATGTTGGGAGGCCCCTGGATGATTTTTGAGGCCCACCCGGCCCAAAAGACGCCCCCAGTCAAGAGGTTCATCAGATGCCGGGCAAGGCACTGGCAGTGGATCCCAGTGGCATATCGCCACCATAGGTGACCCTTCGTCCATTTTCCTTTGCATTAAGGGCTTTCATTGATTAGCTAAACCAGAAAATGGAGTCACTGGGAAGGCCAAAGAAGTTGCCTTCGCAACTAACATGGAACCTGATTGGAGGGTGCTGGAAGACCACGTTTTTCTAAAAGTGGCCCTCTCGTCTTTCTTTTAAGGGTTCTGGAAATGACTTTTGGGGTTGGTTGTCCCTTACACCACCCATTGAAAGTGTAAAGTATGTTTGTGGATGTTTTACTATGCATCCATAAATGCCAGACATTGCAAAGCAAAGGTTAAACAGATGGTACAAACCACAACTCAAAAAGACAAACCCAAAGTCTAAAAACAAGAATCAACAAGCAAAAACCCAAAGCCAACAAAAAACAAATTGAAAAACCAGAAGCCCAACCACCATCAACCAAAACCCCACATCCCAAGACCCAAATCCAAAACCCGAAACCCAACACCCGAAACCCACAACCAAACCCAAAGCACGAAACCCAACCCCCACAACCCAGGAAACCAACACACAAACCCAAACCCAAATCCCAAATCCCCCAAAACCCCAAAACCCAAAACCCAACCCCCGAAACCCAAAACCACAGCCAAATCCCAGCCCCCGAAACCCCAACACCAAAGCCAAATCCCAGCCCCCGAAATCCCAGCCTCCGAAACCCCCAAAACCCAAAAACCAAAAGCAAATCTGTGAGCCAGGCTTTTTTTCAAGGCTTCTCTCCGGTTTCGTGTCTTCCCGGCAGGAGGTCTTCCAGCACCTGGGGGACCTCAAGTCCGACCGGACCCTGGCGGGGGACCCACGAGCGGACGAGCGACGAGCGCAGCTCCCTCCAGCTGGCCGTTTTGGACGTAAGGGCCCAGGGGGAGTTGAAGCCTTCAACTGTTTTTGTTGGACATAACCAAGAGGGAGTTGAAGCCTCCAACAGCTTTTTGGACAGTACGGTGCTGGTATGAGTGTGTCTTGTTTTAGAAGTCTCCAAAAAGACACGCCCATAAGGCTGTGGCTCAAAAAGGATCTTTAACCCGGAATTGCAAAAGTTGTTGGGCGGCATGAATCCCCAATTCCACCAAAGGGTGACCCATTAAACATCACCACCCACAGACGCCTTATCTGTACATATATATATATATATGCATATATATATATATGCATATATATATATGCGCATTGTACACAGACATGGGCTTGGTAGAACCACACATGAATGTCTTTTCTCCAGAAGCGAACCCCGCACGTGTCGGCTTCATGTGGTTTCCTGGTCAATTTGAACCAACCTGGGTACCGATCCAAAATATGCGCAAGGCCCCTGGCCTCTGGCCCAAAACGGCGCCCTCCGTTCCGCGTGCTGTTGGGCGCCAGCCAGGCATCAATGGCTCTGCGCTTCCACGGCTCCATTTTGCAGCACCTGCCTGCCAGCTTGGCGCAGGAGATCTGATCGCTGCCATATTAAGTCGTGCCTCTCATTGCCCACCGAACAAGCCCCTCCCGCCCTCCCAACTGTCCCCTTTCAAAGATCTGGGTCCAAGTCTGCCCAAGTAAGTTTAGCCATGCGTCGGGACCAAGATCGGTGGATGTGGTCAATTACATTGTGATTGGAGTTTAACAATTGTGAATTTGTCTTTCAATCAGTCAACAAACAACGCGGTTCCGTAGAGTCACCATGATTGCACAGAACTCATGAGATGTGTTTTCAAATAACAAGAACGGTACCATCCCCCCCAACCCAACCCCCCCCCCTGTAGCGCAAAAATAAGCTCAAAGGATACTGATATATTCCCAAGCAATGCAGAATGACAAGGGGCGGAGACTGATGACTCTTTTATGGCTGCGCAGCTTGGGTTAAGCCACTTCGAAACGCACAAGCAAGGATATCAAGCTGTGACATGCACACACAGTACAAAGTATGATACACGGGATCCCTACATCGCTGTAAGGGCCCATCATGTACAATTCAACTAAGACACACACACACACACACACACACACACACACACACACACACACACACACCTGAACCCCCCCCCCCTTTGCACCGATCTTGGTCCCGACGCATACGTAAGTTTACTAAGCTCTAATTTTGTAGTGCCTCTGCTCATTACCCACAGGGGAAAGCCCCCTTTTGCTCGCCCTCCTTTGTGTGCCCCCCCCCGGAAAGAAGTGGATGTTCCTGACAACATGCCTTGTAAGCCTTACACGCATATTGTTGGGGGCTGCTTTTTGTGGCAGGAGTATGAGCTCAGGCATGAGGTGCTATAAGTTGATGCTCCTTTGGCTTTGGCTGACAGAGTCCATGTTGTTTATTCCCCATGGCCTTTAGAACCACCTTGGAGCCTAAAACTAGGCCATCTTGCATCTCCAGGACCGCGAACTGATTTTGCTGGCAGTGCTGAGCTATCCGCAGGCGCGGCTTTGAGAGCCACAAGCCGCTCCGAGAGCTGACGGACAAGAAAAAACCTATACTCCTTTCTGGTTTCCCATGGATTGGTTCCCGTTTGGGTGTTCTTCCGGTTTTTCTTTTACCTTGGTGGGTTTTGCCCGCAAACCAGAAGGATATGGTTATGAAAGGTTTATCGGGGACCACCTCAACCGTAAAAGTAGTTGGTGGGCCATGAAGCCACACCTAAATGACGTCCGTCAAAGGATCCGCATTGTTTGAAGCTTCACACCCATATCTGTTTTGCAGCGTGCCCCATTTGAAGAAAGGCCAGCGGAGCATTGAGCTAGTTCCCCCAAACCGGTTCTCACTTGCCTCACTCGTCTGGTGCGCCTCCTTGCAGATAGGGTTCGGTCGAACCATCCAATGGTTTATTCTTGATTTAGGGACTGGACGGGCGCTTACAAAACAAGAGCAACACATGGTGTTTTCCATATCCCGCCACAGCTGAATGGTGTTTGCCTGTCGCATGGAATGACAACGCGCAGCATTCGCCTTGTTGGCCGTTCATCTTTTCTTTGCGGTAGTGTCCCACGCCCAAACATGGAACCTACCAGAGCATGGCAAGATCCCCCCAACCTCCCAGATCCCGCCCCTGAAAGCCTGAAGAGCCCGCAAGTTGGCTCAAAACGGGGAGGAGGGGAGATGGGGGTCTTCAGGGGGTTGGTTATCTACCCTCACCTACTTTGCTGATATCTGGAATGGAGATGATTTTCTAAACGAGTGTTTCTAAACAAGGATTCCAAGTTGAACTTAAATGGGTCCACATGTCTGTTCGGGGGCCCAAAATGGGCTTGAGCTGTTCTTTTGGCTTCTTTGATTCCAAAGTAGACAACTAAATTTGGCTGTTCGGGGACCCAACATGGGCTTCGGTTTTTCTTTGACCAACTCTTTTGGGTGAGGGCTCCCCTACTAAAATAGACTACAGAAAAACGGGTACCCTTATTCTAACCTCTCTACTGGAGGACCTAGAAGTGTACCTGCACTTTTGACCGACATTGACATTGAGTCTCGAAACGGCACGGCAAGCCTCAGGCCTTCCGCCTGGCACCAGAGACATTGCAGGCGGACAAGGACGGAGTCCCGTCCCGTGACGCGTCGTTTTTGGACGGAGTCCCGTCCCGTGACGCGTCGTTTTTGGCCTTCAAGCACCAAAACCGTGGGTTGAGTGAACAAAGGGAATGAAGCTCCCACAAATTACACGATCCATCATATCCAGATGTGTTTTGTTCTTCTTCTTTTTATTTTTGTTTAGAAAACTGGTGCAAAGATCAAAGGAAGCCTAGGGAAAACCTTCGCATGACGAGGAGCCGTGGAAGCTTCTTGGATTTGTTGGGTTGGCGATCAAATTTGGAGGACCCCCTCGAGTCAGGGAGCCGCCCCCTCCCCCGCTTGTACGGTCCCAGAATCCCAGAAGAGATTACCTTCTTTCAGAGCCGGTTGACCGGATCTAGCAAAGACTTCCCCCTGTTGAGTTCCCCCTATCAATCTGTGTTTTTTTTTTTTTTAACCGTACATATGTATATATATATACGGTCCGGGAAAGCTTTCACTGCAGTCCGCGTCTCGTCCAAATGGCGTCCCCTCGTGCCGGGAACCAAAAGTGTCAAATCGTATTCTACCGGGCAAGGAATTGATATGAAATCGTTCCGGGGGCAAAGTGGAATTGCAATGTATACAATGTGAGTGTACAATTAAAACGGAAGTGCTGAACGTGGTCCCCTAAAAAGCCCTGTCAGGAGTTTAGATTTGGTTTAGCACTAGATGAATCAGAAGTAAAAGGAAAGAGGCCTTTTTCCGATTTTGGGCTAGACAACCAGTATGTATAGGGGTGGATTTATTAGGAGAAGGGATTAAACATGTTCCGATCGCCAAAGGATGGTGTTTCGCATCCAAAAGGAGCCTGAGAACCCATACGGGTCACAGTTTGACCAGGTCAGGAGTAACAGGTTGAAGCTACTATTAATCCGCTGCTCAATTGACCCCAAAAAGGATTCCCTCAAATAAAAAGATACACAGATACACTCACAAGGGTCATGACACCCCCAAAATGGTTGGTTGCCCTTTGGTTTCAATACCAACCATGAAACTTGACCCATTTGGGTGTGTCCTTTTTCAAGGTTACTCCCCCCCAAAAAAAATGAAAGAAACAAAACAACAACAACAACAACAACAACAACAACATGTTGAGCTTCCTCTTGGTTCCCCTTTAACAGACCACAAAATCCTTTAAGAAGGGGTACCCTCAGAACAAGTTGACTCGAGCCATTTGGCTGTAGCTAAAAACACGGTACCCAATATGGAACCCTGGTAAGTGGCAACATGGACCAAAACTTGCGTAACCCCTCCCGTTTAATTTTGAGCCACGCCCATTTGGCAGGAGTTCATCATGGCCGCGGTGCTGAAAAACCCGGAGGTCCTGCGGTTCATCCCGCAGCTCAGAGACTCCAACTTCCTCACGTCCCTGCTGAAGCTAATCAGCACCGGGAGAAGAAACAACCCTCGGAGCACGGGGGACACCCCACAAAAACAACTAGGTCTACTAAAATAGACTACAGAAAAAAGGATACCCTTATTCTAACCTCTTTACTGGAGAAGCTAGACAAGAACCAGGGGTTGATGCATCCGGGGTTCCCATAGGGTGTTTTTTGGGGTTCCAGTGTGCTTTTTTCAACGTGGATTTCGAACTCCCTATTTGTACTTTTTGAGTGACCGCTATTTGGAGCAGCCTCCAAAATAGAAAGGAGGTTCGACAAAAGGATATTCTTCCAGACAAAATGCTTCGGGTTCCATGCTCGTTTGCCAAAGGACTACGAACCCCTAACCAGCAACCCACCACTTAAAGGTAGGAGCTTTATGAGGGGGCCGAAAAAGTTCCCTTAGGCAGTTCATGGCCACAAGGGTTTCCCTTGAATTGCGCAATGTTTGGGATACATCCTGACCAGAGCAGGTGTTTGGAAACCCGTTATTGCCAGCAGCCTTCCTATTTCATGTCTTGCCTTTTTGGTGTTCCCGCGTTTGATTCTCAACCAGGATAATTTTCATGGGTTGGTCAGGTTACCCTCAGCCTGAGCGCCTTTGGGGAGGTTCCTCAATCTCACCACCAATCCAAGACACTGAGAGAGGCAGCTGAGAACTCAGGGATTCCGACCCTGAAGCTTCCTTCCGTTTTTTGGTCCATCATTCCTCAAACCTAGATGAACGAAACAAAAAAAGAAAAACGGTATGTGTACCTGCAGGTAACCAGGTATGCTTACCTCTAGGTGTTGCATGGCTTCCCCTGGTTACTATAGTGGAAGCACTGGGCAGGGTTGCTCCGAGCCTTTGCACGCTCAAATACCGGGAAGAAGATCGGCCGCCGGTTACACCCGAAAGTGCCCTGAACAGGGAGCCGTTTCAGGGAGCCCTGAACACGTAGCACTCCGCGGAAACACGGAAGCTAGCAATTGAGTAAGATGACCTTGGACAGTCTCCATGGTCAGATAGGCCCTAGAAGCGAGGCTTGGTGCATTGACCCCTTACAAAGCCTTTCAATGGTGACCTGCTCTTGGGGCCTACGGTTGACCTCTGCAGCAAAGTGTGCAACTTTGGAGAGAGTAAGACTGTGTAAGACCTTTCGGATTCAATCCAGTGTTTTGCACTTGCTGGTGATCATACCCCTCTCCCGGAAAGGATTGTTCTTCCCATGACATCGGACGGTGGCAAGCGAGCAAGGAACAATGCAATGGAACCACCCTTTGTCTTTTAGGTTCTGCAGAGCAGCCCTGTGTTTTAAGGCCCATGCTAAGAGGCTTTACACGGAAGCTACAGAACAAGGAGGCCCGTTTGGGGTTCCACTGGATGGATGGGTCCAAGTGCCGCTTCAAGGACGGCGTGCCCTGCAGCCCTCGAGCATTTGCCCGAAGCACAGGCGGGATCGAAGCGACCGAATTTTCACCTGGGCGAGGTGGGAATCAAAATCAAATCGGCGCAGAACCAGCCAAGGCTGGTTCAGCCCCAAGCTATCAGCCCCTCATGGTTCGTTGTCTTGCGGCGCCCGTCCCACCAAAGTGCTTCCCTTTTCAAGCAGAAAACCTGACGTCCAAACCTAAAGAAGGGCGACGAGGGTTTCGAGTCAACGGGGGCTCATCAAGTAATATTTGGATAATTAGTGGGAATCTACGTTAGATCCCTATGTTTGGGCACCTCGAAGTGAGCAACCGTGACGCTGTTTACACAAGTTCACAAGGAGTTGGCAAGAGATTCAACTTTAAACCTGATTGGGACACACAAAATGTCAATTTGGTTCAAGCCAGACTTCCGGCGAAGCGGTTTCAATTCAGAGGCCAAGGGATTACACCCAGCGCCCACAAGCGTCTGGATTTTCTGCTTGTGTGCTGCTGATGCTGCTGCTGCTGCTGCTGCTGCTGCTGCTGCTGCTGCTGCTGCTGCTGCTGCTGCTGATGCCGCCGCCGCTGCCGCCGCCGCCGCCGCTGCTGCTGCCATGTTGTGGAAACGCGTAGGCGCTGAGAATGATAGATTGTACGTCGCCGCACCCTACTTGGATTTGGTTCTAGAACGATCAACTCTCTCACCTTGCTATATTGTGAAAACGCATACGTGGGGGTGCATAGGGGTCGATGGCTTCTAACTTGCTTTGAAGGCACATAGAAGTTGTTCTAACGTGCCTTTCTATTGAGACTGGTAAAAGTACGTCACGACGCTTCACTTTGATTTGGGTCCAGAAGGATGACTTGCCCGGCCCTGCCAAGTTTAGGAAAGAAACGCAGAGAAACAAATTAGTTTCCAGCTTTTCCCTGAAAACTAACAGCTAGCAAATCCGAGCGCCCCACTGTGACTTGGTCCGAAAATTGCTATTGCATAATGTACGCGACCTCGTTTTTGGCACAGCGCTCGCAAGGTTTCCTCCAGATTGCGCCTTTTCGATTTCTCGAGCTGGCGCCCCCACTGAAATTCAAATGGCAGTGACGTGATGCATCTCCCGCGATGAAACATCTGCTCTCACAGCGCGCTCCAGGATACTTTCCGCAAGTTGCAGTAACTTGGCTCTCGTTTGGGGTAGGCTATAGGATATATTTTAGGTTTTACCAGTGACTCAAAGGGAAGCAAACAATAGAATATACATTCTATCATTGGGCCTAAGTCTAATCATGTGTCATGCATTCCGTGAGGCAGACCCCAGCTTGGTCCTCCTGGCTCTGCAAACTCAACAGGCGCCGGCCTTGAGACGTGTGGCTCCTCGTTTTTTGGGGGCACACACAATTTGTTGAGAGTCTGTTTTTGGGGAACCTGAAAGGACAACCCGTTTTGCGTGTTTCAGGGTTTTGCTCTTTGAAGACACACCCTGTAAACCTTTCTATCCGTAGTAGAGTTCCCCATCCATACAAGGGGTCCAACTGCGCTCAATTTGGTCACAAGGCCAGTTCCTGTTGGCCATTTTTCGGAAGTTTGGCTCCTACTTGGTTTCATGGGGGTTATAGCAACGCCTCGGAAGTTTCCCCCAATGCTTGGTTTCTTGAGGGCAACCTGAAAGGCTCTTTCGTCAACAAACGACCTATAGGCTGAAAGGGTGTCAAGAGACACCACTTCACACATCTAGGGAGGTTCTTTTCTCCTAGCCTTGAAGATTCTTTCAAGGTTTGCTCTCCAAACTTCCAGGGTAATTAGATACTTACTTGGGCTTCCTCGTGAGTTTCGACCTGTCATCACAGGTTTGACCATGGCTTGCTTGATCTTAGGACGGTCTATGGTCAAGCAGCATGAATTTCCCTATGGTCAATGGTCAAACCGAATGGTCTATGGTCTATAGTATATGGTCAAACAGGCGGTCTATGGTCTATCTTTTAAATCAGACGGTCTATGGTCAAACCGAATGATTTTCCCTTTGGCTTCCCAGTTCACCAAGCGGGAAATCAAACCAACCTTGTCTCCCCAGGCCTGCGAGCTGTCGGAGGACCGACTGCCGCCAAAGAAAAACAATGATCGTTCCGCAGCTTTGGCGTGTGGCGCCCAATTGGGTGGAACCCTGAACCTGGACACTCCAATGCCGACGAATTCCTGTTTTCAAGGTTTGCTTCGTGGGATTCGCAAATGTCGGGTGAATTATCCACGAGAGCTGTCCGAACGACTCTGTGGTTCAGGATTCATAATATCCTTTGTGCGCTTATTTTTTGGTTTGGGGGGGAGGGGGGAGGCGGGCCTAGCATTTAGCAGAACTCCTTGCTTTGGATGGGCCAAAGTTGAGCAACATTCATTGCTTGCGCTAGCAGCTCGCAGGAGGCGCTGGTAGAATAGTTGCAGCACGTATTCTTTGGGTATGTTGCGGGGTATTGTCCGGGTATGCGTGTTGCCTTAGTTGCTCTTCCGACAAACGTAGATGCCTGGAGGCGCGTTGTCTCGTTTTTTGGGGTGGGGCAGGGCATCGTTGTTTCACGGTTTTCGCGCGCTCTTGCCAAGCGTTTGGCGGTGTTTAAGATGCAAACCTGAATGCGGAAACAACAAGCCGCGCCTCAGATGGATCCAGTTTCCACTTTGGCGCAAGGCTAAATCCCTACCTCCTCAGTCCTCGGTATTGTATGCCGGACGGCATGCCCCAGCTCCCTCTCCCCCCAATTGCAAAGTACCCTGAGCACAGCCAGATTCCGCATGAAGTGGTCTGGATCTCATTACCTGATTAAATGTCGTCAGGTATGGGTTTTCGAGGTATGGACGGCTTTGAGATTTGCTTGGAAAAAGACTACCAAGATAAGCTCGCAAGGCATACAGTATACACCACGTAAGTGGTCATAGATTCTGAGCACTTCCCAACCCCGAAGATCTGCTGGACAAGTCCTTTGCCTTGGACAGATACAATGGCTATTTTTGGAACAACCTACGGCTTGGCGGACACGGATCCCCATGTATTTCGATCCCCAAAGGGTCCAACCAGTAGCTGAGATGCTCACTGCCTCGGAAGACCAGTGTGGCAACCAAAAAGTTCAGACTTGTTTGGGGCCGCTCCACCCAGGAAGTGTGCATGCCTTTAGGGGAAGCTTCCATGTCCATTCTTTCCGGGGATCCGAATCTTTTGAAAGACATCGAGAACGGGGAAACAGCAATGAGTCTTTGAAGAGAAGGATGGTTGAAAAGAATGGCTGGAATCAACCCCTCGAGTGACTTGGACCGTGATTTTGTTTCCCAGGACACTTTGGAATCAACCCCTAGAGTCCTAGAGGTCTGGGAACTTGACTTTGGACCCGGATTTCCGATTTCCGGGCGGGTTGAAGAATTTAATCAACCCACAGAATGGTTGGAATATCAACCCTAGAACCATCAAAACCCCTGGGGACACAGCGATCGTTGGAATCAACCCCTATGACCCATGGCTGGAAATCCGGACGGAAGGTTTTGATTTTTCAGGACGACACCCCGGAGCAGCCCCGATCTTCCAGCGCAGTGCAGCAAGGCGCCCATTTCAACATGATCCGCTCGCCGGGGAAGAAAGGTCTGGCTAGTTCATGGCGAGCTGGGGGAAAAACGAGCGCAGGGGGAATTCCTTATCTCAGGTCTTGGAAATATTGCACAAGGCTCACCATGATAAACAAAATCCTTTACTTAGGGATTCCTTGTCTCAGGTCTTGGAAGTATTGCACAAGGCTCACCATGATTTAAAAAAAAAAAAAAAACTTTACGGATTTGGGATTCCTGGTTTCAGGTTTTGGAAGTATTGCACAATTTGCAGAATACTGAATACTGTGCAAAATATGGAATCCTTAATCTGGTCAGAAGCTGTAGCGGCGACACTTGGGGGTTGCGACGAACGCGCAGGTGCCTTGGGAGTATCCGATTTTCGGTTGGTGATTTGTGTTTTTAGTTTCCTGGCATAGGCAGTTTTGATGTTTGCGGCTGATTTGTTCTACACGATAGTCATTTCCGCAGATCTTTCGACTTCCAACAAATGTCGGGGCCACGACGGTACAAGGAAATTCGGAGAGCAAATGTCACCCCCCCCATAGCCATGATGCGGCTCAAACGACTTCAATTTCGCGCTCCTGATATCTCTGGATGTGTGGACACATGGTCTGGGGGGGGGGGGAGAGGGACTTCGAGTTACGCTTGTTCAGGGTCTTCTGCAAGACGGGAACTCGACCCTTAAACAGCCGTCCGTCGGGCAAGCAACTGGGTCGAGTTGCACCCACCCAGAACTCTGCAAATGGCAGCGTTTTGCATGTTGGTTCCCCTTCAAGCACCCATGCCATCACAGCTTGCTAGTTCTCAGTGAGGAACGTGGTTAGTCTGCAATTCCCTTATTCCCATATTCCATATTCCCACAGTCCTTAGGGAATGGTTTCCCGGAGCGTCGGTTGGGGTGATTCTGAATTTGGATCAACTATTCCACCAGTTGACAAAACCTAGGAAAAGCAATAAGGGTAAGAGAAACCAAAGACAGCAGCAGCGAGGAATTTGGAGAAAACGAAGCCGACGCATGCACATTTGCAAGCTCAAATTGACGGGCCAACCAACAAGCGGCTTTCCAACCCCCAAATGGCCATGGATGCATACGTGGTCCCAGAGAATCAGCCCTTGAAACTGACATCACGCAAGAACAGTCTTGTCTTAACTCTTTGGCCTCCAAACATTCCCTTACAAATCTGAGGTTTCGTCCAAACCCCGGCTCCCCATGGAAAATCTGCATAGATGATAGGCCTCATCGTTCAGGCTGTTGACCGTTGCTTCCCTCAAACCAACAAACACAAATAGAAAGGATACATTCCTACCGGGATTCCTTCTGGTCTACCTCTACTTGCTGGTGCTCAGCAGGGAATGAGGGAATGACCCTTTTAATGAAATCCCCAGGTTCATTCCCTCATTGCCTTCTGCGCACCAGCAAGTCATGGTTCTTTGTGATACATTGGCTGATTCCATATGACTTGTCACGTTCAGCGTGGCGCCCCGTTCAAGACCAATAACGTCTCAGCTTTTCCGCGTGACCCCGACTTGGCCAGTGCCAGGAGTTTCGATGGAGTGACCTTTGCCTTGTTTTGAGGTTTACTTGCCTTTCAGCGGGTGGACATGAGTCCCTTGGTCCACAGCTTTGGTCCAACCATCTGAAATTCACCCCACGCGTGTCCTTGATGAGGTTGGTAGACCATCAATGGTCCTGGTTGACTTGGTGGCTTCATATTACCCATTTTCCCAGAACACCCATGAATTTTACGTTAATCCCCACTAGGGCCACCCACGTTCACAAGAGGACACCTACCACCCATTCCCCAGAAGGACACCTATCAACCACCCATTCTCCCAGAAAGACACCTATCTCCCCATTTTTCCAGAAGGACACCACTCCCCATTTGACCGTTGCCAGTCATCTTGCGGTTTCCAGACCCTCCACGTCAACCAACGCTCTCGCTCTAGGCGGCGCCCGGTCGACCCTGGCTTTTGCAGCCGCCTCCCTGCGTGGCTTGGACGAGCTTTTGCGTTGGCCGGTTTGGTTCCCGGTTTCCATGGGGCGTTCCTTTGTTACTACAACCTATGAACCATCCCCTCTGGTTTCCTTTAACAGGGCTCCTTAAACGATACATGTTGCCCGTTTGAAACATGTTTTTTCCCACCAACATACAGGGACACCGCCATTTACAAGGCAATGTTCAGGTGTATAATCTAAGGATCCCTGTTTAAGGAAATGAGACATGGAGTGGCCCTGTCAAAACCATCCATGCCCCTCTGGTCTCCTTTCGGGGAATCCCCCTTTCCGGTTCATTCCCACCGGGATTCCTGGTCCTTCCCTAGCTACCTGTCGCACCGGCAAGTACCCTCCCACCCTTTTCACCTGGAACCTGACGTTCGGGACCCGGTCCCTTTACAGGGAGAATGTTGCAAACCACCCGGCCAGGGTCCATGTCAATTGGTGGGAGGGTAAGGATTTTGTAAAAATAGGTGTAGCCATCTTAGTAGAACAAATGTTGGATGGGTTCGGGGCGCTGCCCAAATGGCTGCTGTGCGGACCAAACACAAATGCTACCGATTCCCGCTTTTACCCTCCCACCAACTTGCTGATTACATATGTTGACTGCAGTTTACGTTGAGCGACCGCTTTAGAGGGCATGATTGGCGACCAAGGTAGGACGTTAACCCACTGGAGAATTACTTCATTTCGTTGCTCATCGGATCAGGGCTGGCCCTTTATTAGGATCGCAACCCCCGATAAGGCGTCCGCTTTGAATATAGAAAGCGCAGGGGTCCTTGGGTCTGGAGGGCAGCACTAGCAACCCACAGGATCGAGCTACCAGTCAGGGGCATTCGTCGACAGTATCTGCTAGGACAGGTCTTGAGATTCAAATGTTTAGGTGCATTGAAAAGAAGAAAATCAATAATGTTGTCAAATTTGCCCATTTGGAAGACTGCCGAACATGGCCGCGGTAGCACTTGCAAGGCAAGGTTGGCGCCACTGTCATAGCCTAGCACCGCGGGCACTGCCTAAACAGTTCAAGCACGCAAACAGGCGCAACGGGCAGGCAGGCGCACACACACACACACACACGTCATCAACCTCCCTGGCTTCGTGCCTGGGGATTTCTCTATCTCTTTGGAGGCTAAATGGGTGTGGGTCAAAAATAGGTACCCAGAATGGAGCCCGGGTAAATGGAAACAAAACCTAACACCTGTGGTCCCCTGGTGGTTTGATTTTGACCCAAATCAGACAGCGCCTCAAAATGGAGCTCTTCACCAAAAGGCAAAAGGCAGTTGTGCGCTTCCGCCACATGAGCCTTGCCCACTACCAACAAATCAACTCTTCGGACGCGCGGTGGCCGTAGTACCTGCCCCCCCTTCCTACCTTGTGGCAATTGGTATCGTTTACTCTTTTTTGGTTTGTGATTACTTGGCTGCTGGTGCGTTTGGAAGCCCTGACTTTTGGGATGTGGGATTGGTGCATTGGGCGATGATTTTGGCTTCTTTCAGCGGATTTTCCTGTGGCCCCCCGGCGCAGCACCCGCGCCAAATAGGGCGATGTCTCGAAAATACCACCAGAATCATCCGCTAGGAGGTCCCTTCATTTCAGCTTGGGAAGGGCAGTCATTTGTGACGAGCCCCAAGAGTTTGCTCCCATGCGTTGCAAGCTGCCAGAACCTGCGACGCGACAGTGAATGACTCGACAGTGAATCCAGGCATTACCTCAAAATCAGGGAGGGCCCGCAAACTGAAGGAGCAAACGCGAAACAAGGGACGGAAAGGCGACAAAGTACCCTCAGTCGACTATCTTTCAGAAACACGGCCTGGTTCTCTTTTCTTTTCCCTTCCCTTTCCCTTCAACCTCTCCCCCCCAAAAAAAAAACCAACAACCCCAAGACCCTCCCCCCCCCAAGACCCCCCAAGTGGCTACAGACCCTCCCCCCACTTGCCCGCCTTCGGGCCGTAAGGCTCGGATCCTCACTTCTTACTGGCCGCCTTGGCGCTGGACAGCGGCGCGCTGGCCTACGCCACGGAGGACGCGCGCCATACACTTCCATTTGCTTAAGTTGTGTTTCTTTATATATATATATATTTGTTTCCCCTGTTGGTTTCAAGGGAATGTATCACTACTGGAAACATGTTTTTGTTTTTTAGTTTTCCCTGTTGGTTTCAACAGGGAATCTATCACTACTGGAAACATTTGTGTTTTTCCCAGGGGTCTTAAGCAAATGGAGGTACATAGGGCACTGTGCTGTGGCCGACGGGGCTGCTCAAGGCGAAGATGTTTGTTTTTTTCTTTTTCCAATTCGGAGCTCCCCCATCTAATAGGAAATCTTAATCAGGGTTGGTAGTCGAGGAGAGGAGGACCAAAAGGACAGGAGAATGTTCGCCAAAAATGGTGGCGGGAGTAAAGCCGCGGTTTGAAGAATGTCCACAAAAGGGTCCCAGTTGAAACTTACACAGGAGCAAGCAAAACAAACAAAAGATTGAAGTCCTGATACCACAATGCCCTTACAAGCAAGACCGGGACGAAAACGAGAAAAAAGAGGAGGAACATCAATAAACAATGACAAAGATTCTGTTCCAGATGCGAAGGGTTTCCCAGGCCCCAACATTCTCATTGCACATGGTTTATCGGCAAATTCGATTCCCCGAGGTATTTCGGTTTTCAGCAGTGTTTTGTTTCTCGGGTTTCTTTCGGTTTTGAAGAGGTTCTGGAACACCATGCTGGAGCCACAATGCCCTCCTCACAAGCAAAACCGGACAAAAAGAGACAATAAAGCGAAGGAGAAAGAGCAAACAACAAGAGAACGAGAGAAAGAAGCAGCAAAAGACGAAGAGAAGAGAAAAGACAAGGAGAAAGAGAAAAATAACGTGGGAGATAGAGAGGGGGAATAGAAACGTGCTCCCAACTAGAGTTCTTATATGTTTGAGTACGCACGTAAACATGCGTCTAGCGTAAAAAAAGCCTTTCAGCTTATTTCTTGCATATGTTTAGCATAGTTCTAGCATATCTAATTTGTTTCTCAACCATTTTAGATTGCTTCTAGATGTTGGAAGGTGTCCAACGCATGCCCGGTGCGACACTAATATGTTTTAATTGTCCACCATTGCAGACTGCCAACAAACCTAGTTGGTGTTTGTTGTTTTTGTTTTTCTTTTAACTGTATGGTGGACATGCTTTCTAGTGGATGCTGTGTTTAGTCTGTATGCAGCGCGCTTCTAGCATATTCCTAGCAAAACCGTACTCGAGCTGCATTCTGGACCATTTCTGCACACGCCCCAGAGCTGAAAAAAGCCCGAAGATACGGGGGACGCCCGCCTCTCCCAAAATGGGATAGTTTCCATCGGCGCCTGGTCAAACCAGCCCTTGAAAAAGCCACCCTTAGAAGATAAGAACACCCACACGGTGGGACTCACCAACAAACAAGTTGTTGCCCCTTGCATCGGGTAAGCATTCCCAGTTCTGATTTTATGTCTTTTGAGACTCTGGTGGTTTCCCTGTAAACCACAAGTTTCTAGTCTTTGAGGATGCCACTTTAGACGCAACTAGAAAAAGGTTTGACGCACACCACGGATCTGCGTCAATTCAGCTCTGGCTCGCGAAGTGTGGCTCAGCTGGGGTTTCGCAGCTGTTGGTTTTTTTTCTTTGCATCCAGGCGGCCCAAAAAATGGTCCCGCTGTTTCGAGCCGCGGCCATGTGACATTCATACTTCGAAACCAGGGTTGAAACCATTCTTTGTTGGAATTTTACAAGGGACTCATCAGCAACCAGGGTTTCTGAAGTGGTGCGAAGTGGATTTCATCTCTGAGGGTCTTTGTATTCCACCCTGGGATTACACCTTGGGAAATGACCCAGAATGGCTCAAAATAACACAGCTTTATCCGGAAATGTGCGATCTGTGGGGTCAATGGTCAATACCCAGGTTTATTCCCAGGGTGTGATACAAAAACCCTCAGATCATCCATCCACAGCACCAAGTTGGGCCCAGCAAAGTGGGGCGCCGGACCGCAGCAAGGAGCTGCAAAAGAACGAGGACTTTGTGCTGGCGGCAGCGGCGGCCTTAGGACTTCACACGGCCCGACCCACCAGACCCACCCAAACACCCCATTTGTTGAAGGATACTAGGTCTCCCAGGATCGCCCTGTCTCACCCCTTTTTTGGTTGGGAGGGTTCCCCTACTAAAATAGACTACAGAAAAACATCGGGTGCCCCTTATTCAATCACCCGAATTGGCTGTGGGTTAAAACCCTGGTGAACATCAACAAATCGGTGGTACATGGGTGTTCATCCGCCCCAACATGGAGGCATAGGTTGTGGCCCATGGCCAATTGGCCCATTGGTTGAATGATATGATGTCAACCCCTCATTTCCAATGGAGGGTTTTGCCGTGGGAAACCTTGATTTGAGAAAATATCCGCTGCAATTTGTTGACAAGTATTGTGAGTAGGGCCCCCTTACACCTCCCTCTTCCTCCCTTGCAATCTGTTCAGCGCTCGGTTTTTCTCCGACGCGTGTGTTTTGTTTTAGGTTGGACTCCCCAAAAATAGGTCTTTGTTGGTTTTCCTTTCAGACCACAAAAGGGGTACCAGCTCCCCAGAAAATTAACGTGCCCAGGTTTCCCCTTGGCAGGTTCCAACATTAGCTTCTCCCCAGATCAGGTCGAATGGGAGCCGGGAGTTTACTGGCTTACCCATAAAAGTTCATATTGCGCAAAACCAATCACGAACTCACCGGTCGGGCGAAAAACGATCTCTAAGATGAAAGTTTCCTACTTTAGTCTTCTAATGCTTTTCACCCTTGCACTTGCGTACACCAAACCGGAAGAGCCACAAAAAGCAGTGACCCAACAAACTCTACTGTTGGTTTTAGCTGGGATATGCACCATGGTCAAAGTTTCTTTTGTTTTTTTTGGGGGGGTTGTGAGGTATGGTCATGGACCCTTGCGCAGATAGGGTCATGGACCGAGGCCTTTGGGTGTCCGAACGTTTGCGGAACAAATCCCCTTTCGCCACCATGAACCATCGCAAGCCATCCGGCACCATGCAAATGCTGGCCCCTTTTTCTCTTAACCCACAATCTTCCTCTTCCGTTTTTGCTCCCCTCCCAAATCTTCCCATAACTCCACTTTTCCCATGGCCTTTGACTACCAAGTGCCAACACAGAAGTTCACATTGTTTTCCCAGATATGTATCCTCTTTAATTCGTTGGTCATGAAATGTCATGAACCGATTGCCCTAACTTTGACAAATTCCGGTGCCAATGTCAGAAACTGGGGTGGTTTCCTTTTAGCCCACTTCGGAAATGACCTGGATGGTAAATACTCGGGGCCAGAACGTGAAACCAAAAGGAACACCGTTGCGGTTTTCCATTTGAAACGGTCCCCAAACAAAAGGACACACCCATGCTGACCTTCTGAGGTCCTGGTTTGGACCATCCTTTTCGTCAGGTTCCATGTTCATTCGAGAAAAAAAGGTATAAACTTCAAGCATTGGAAGTGGTATGCATAAGCATGTGGTATACCTTGTTTTTTTGCACCATGCAGGCAAGGTTTGGGGAATCATGCAGTGCACATATATATATATATATGTATATTGCATAAACATACGTTATGCCACAGCCAGGCACTGTGGGCCAGTGCCAGCATCAAGCAGTAGCTGTAGTCTGTTTGGCCCATGCATATCATTGGTTTGCAGCAAACCAAAGAAATGCACGAGCAAGACACACTATAAGCTGTTCTTACATGCGTCATGCTACATGGGTAGTTGCACCACATGCCACATGGTTGGCTTCAGCATATGTTGAAGCATGCACAAACCTTTGTCCTCATGGTGCACCAACAACAGTCCTTAGCCTTGCGTCGATGACGCTGTATCACATTGTTGCAGCAACTGGGGCGCGGCCCACGTGCAGGGAGCTTGAGTCTGCTCTGGTGTGTTCAGGAGAGCTGTTGAGAAATTGCTGGGAACACTGTTGATGCAAAATGTTGACAAAATGCTGGGATTCCACTTTCGCAGCTCAGCAGTGAATGCATATGTGCTTCACATACACACTTGTAAATGCTGGCAGCGTTGGCAGCATGTTGAGTCAGGCCTATTTGCGTAAAACACCACACCCTCACGCAAACAAATGATGCGCATGGCATGCTCAGGCAGCGTGCCAACTTCTTTGCAAATTGTGGCTGGAGAATGAATGGACATTGACATTCACACACTGTTCTTACAACCTGGACAAGCTGCAGCTGAGCCAAAACGCGACGCCAGCCTCGCAAGTTGAGCAGTGCAAGATCTGCATCATGTGCTTGGCAAATGCGCAAGCACTGCTTGCCATACTTGAAATGCCTGGCCAGCCACTTGCGCCTGGCCTTGGAGCAAGTCGAGGGGCTCATGGCACTGTTTTGCCCAGGGCTCGTGGCTCACATATTGCAAAATGAGCATGGCGGCAAATTGCGCGTGGTTCTGCCCACCCCCCTCTCAACAGGATCAGAGTGTTCTCGGATTAGTGTTTGGAGGAGCACAGGACCACTGGATGTACACAGGCAAGCTCTTCAAGCCAGAAATTTACTGGTCCCACATCTGCGCCAGAATCGGCTGCACTTGCTCGGATGGGGAGTCAAAATGCCTCAGTTGGCAAGGGAGAGGGGGCAGGGCGGGCACACAAATGACCAGCAACAAACTGCGCAATGAGCCATTGATCCAAAGTCACTCCCAGCATTCCCTGCAGCACTTGCCCTTGCAGCCTGACCATTCTTGCGCTGGGCCAGGTGAGTGACCTTGCAGCTGATGCCTCCGCCTCAGCATAGCGTGTAGCGCAGACAAAGGCAACTGGGAAACAGTGCTTAGCAACACAAGCTGAGGTACTTGGGAAACGTTTGCGGGCATGGTTGAAGAACAGCTGAGAAACAGTTGGCAATGTAGTTGAGAGAGTTGAGACACGGCCGGAAAAGAGTTGGTAGACAGTTGATAATGTAGCTGAGAGATATTTGGGAAAGAGTCCAGAACAGTTGAGCCCGCCAGAAACAATGGATGGGTCATGGCGCCTTGAGACCCGGACCGTTGTGGCCATGGAGGGGGTGAAGACCGACAAGCTGTGGACTCCAACCCAAAAGCAGCTGCATGGTTCCACGTGGCTGCTGGTCTCGAAATGGGACCGCGGCTTTGTGAAATTTGTCAAAGGAAAGGCCCTGAACTTGAAGAAGGGGGGACGTGGGGCTGATTGTAACGTCGCTTTTTTGGACGAGCTCAAGCGGCGTCGCCAAGAGGTTTGTGACGACTTCCTCCAGCAGGCCTTGCAGCCGCCCGAGGAGGCCAATGACAATGCCCCGCGCAAGAAGCCGACCGCAGCTTGAGCTTTGATGAGCACGACACACCTGGCTCTCAAAAGCTGGAGATGCGCATGCTGACGGAAAGCCTGGGCGAAAACAAATTCTGGATTGAATTCACAGAGCCCAACCTAGAGTTCCTCAAGGCAGCATGTCTGGCCTCCGGGTCGGGCAAGACGAAGACTTGCAGGAAGCACGCCCAAGATGATCAGGGAGAAGATGCATGGCCTCGTGTTGATATCCGTAGGTGCACTCGGCATGTGCATCTGTGCATAAGCTTTGGCTGTATATACAGAAACAGCTTGCAGTTGTCGAGCGTGCTCACTTGGTGCCATGTGTCTCGTTGTTGCGCACGCTTTGTTTGTTGTCAGGAGTTTTCTTGGTTTAAGGCGCAAGGCACTTCAGGGCTCAGGGCATAGCATGGACTTCCTGCTGGGTGAAGTCGGGGAGCAGGACCTGCACTCACACGTCCGTGCATGTTTCGTTCCCCTTTTCATTTCCACTCCTTCCCTGGCTGCCAGGATGATGACTTTCTTAACTTCGAGCAGGCCGGGCTGCTCTACACTTTGAAGCAGACGCAGGCAGGGTGCTCGCAACCCTGCATTCCACTGCAGTCCATGTGAGCCCCGCATTGCCCGCATCGTCCATCAAGGCAGACTGTCCAGCACCACTGCACTGGAAGCTCAATGAAGCCACACCAGTGCAGCATGTTGTTGAGTTGTGTCCTTGACGTTGCTTTGCCTGCTTGCGTCCACGGTAGGCCTATGCCTCTTCAAAAGCAACGAGGCCACCATGGAACCTCCTGCCAAAGGCTCGTCTGCCAAAGTTTCGCCTGGCACGTACGCATGCGTCATTTTGCCAGGATGGATGGTGCTCTGCCGGAACCGTTCGTGGAAGCCATCAACTTTGTTTCGCGAGGATCGTCCTTGCTCTTGCTCTTGAGCCATCACTCATGTGCCAATTCTGCCAGGCTGCCCTTGAGCAAGAATTTCTCCCTGAAGCTGTCAAAGAGGATGTGAACGAGAAGGCGGCATGTTTGAGAAGCCGGCTAAGATTTGCAGGCAACATTTCAGCCCCATGTCATGAATGTGTGGTCCGTTTGGAGGCTGCTGAGTCAGATGCATGGGAGGAGGCACCAGCGAGGATTCTTTCATCTATCCTTGATGCTGCCTAAAATTGAGAGTGAGCAGCCACCTGAGGTTGCAAGCGAGCAGCCACCAGCTGAAGAGGATTGTTCTTGTTTGCTTTTTTTGCTGAAGCGCAGGGAGAGCTCTGCATTGTGCCTGCAGGAGCACATGGAGGAGCCCAAGCAAGACCATGCGCAGCCCCCACACGACCCCTTCCGCCACGGAGCGATTTTGCAGGCCTCGGGATTTGTGTCATCTGCATTTAGGTCGTGCAGCCCTTTAAGATTATGCGCGCAATGCCGAAGGGTCAGAAGGCCATCTCAAGACTTCGATCTTTTTTTGGTTGCAAGCGCGATCCACTGGTCACTGCTGCAGGCACCTTGGTCGAAGAAGCGCCCGCGCGAGGACGAGGACGTGGCCATCCCTGACAGCCGGGCCGAATCCGTTCTAAGAGAGGCGTGCGAGATTTGGTGTCAGGTGTCATGACGCCGGACAAAGCAGGCCGTGGAGCACACATCCGCGGATTTGTGGATGCGGATGGCACCATGTGGCCGTGACTGCCTCAGCGCGCTCACCTGCGTATGAAGGGGCGCAGATGTTCTTGTC